CTGCCATCATTTTCCAAGACCGTTGAGTAATCCGCCATTCCAGGTAAACGAATCGCCGCAAGTGTGTGATGTGATATCCCAGCCGGAAACTCGCATCCTCTTGCAGCATGCTGCCGACTTTGTCTAGTCAATTTTGCAATCAGTTGGTCCAAAGTCAAGGTGATTTGATATGAAGAACATCCTTGAAGTCACTGTGGCCAAGCTGCCGGATCACTGTCATGTATCCGTGCGTCCTCAAGGAAGCGACTCGCTGGATTTAAAGTCCTTGTCTAAGTTTTTACGTACCTCTGTTGGATTGTGAGAAAACAAAGAATGGTCCTTAAACGCAACTTCTTCCCCATGTTCGAAAGTGTTATGTTCTGCTCATGCCTTGTAGTGTAGGTGCTGAGCTGTACGTGATTCAGTGGGAGCGTCAGCATACAAATCTTGAACTCTGGGTTCAACCAGCTGAGGCGACAGTGGTCACTTATTCCTCTTTCAATATCAACGGGCAGGCATATTGACGAGTTATGGGAAACAAATGAGAGAGCACCCGCTGAAGCCAGCTTCTAACCGCGGGACGCAAGTCTCTAACCACTAGACACACGCGGCAACTTTGCTTTCTGTACATGTAACGATGGTTCGACAAGTCGAGGCAGGCGAATGTACAATACTTCCGTTCTTTGGTTCAATGTCTCCCACTTGGGTATGAAGTCTGAACTCTAGATTGAAGTCGGTGTAAGTGGCGTGTCCTCATCACTCTTGCACACTTGTTCTGTCTTTCAAGTCGAATCCATCTGCTGGGAGCGTACATGATCATGGCCTGCAACATGTGATTTCTACCGGAACAGTTCCCGCACTTTATATAGTCCTTGGCCGGCATGTGCTCGGATGGGTTCGGTAGAAGGAAACATGCTCCGGCTCCATGATCAACATCTGGCCTCCCGAGCTGCTCCGCCTCCACATCATGGTTGACGTTGGTGCACGCAGATTGAGTTCATCCAAAATCGACTATCCTTCATCCTGTGGAGGCGGAGTCAAGCCAACTGCCCGGGCTCATGTCATCATCTCCCGGCAGATGCATCAGTGCGTAGGCGGGTGGTACGGCAGACGTCACTCGGGTCACACACGAGTGAAGCAATAAAGCATAGGCACAGGCACAAGTGCTTGCGGCAAGGAAAACCTGCCAACGCTTCTGTGGGACCGGGCGCGGGTAAGGCTAGAGATGCAGATATCCGGCTAGATTTGCATGCTGACGGCATGAAATGCATGCAGACGGCGCTGATTCATCAGGGCGAGCAGGAAGGGCGAACGGATCGGGAGTCACGGGCTCGGCAGGCCGGTGGCTTGAGGCCGCTGATGACAAACTGAAGCGTGAACTCACGCTGTGGGAACAGCAGAACTGTTGGAAAGCGTAATCCGTAGTCATCGTTGCATGTACACGACGGTTTTCACACGGTCTCGGCAAGCGGGCGGGCTTTTTGCTTCCTTACTGCGTCTCGGGCATAGCATATGCAGAAGAGAAGCACCGGAGCGTCTTGTTTTGGTATTCCCGAAGGTTGAATGGCACAATCGGGCGTAGCCATGAGGACAAGCGCGGCTAGGACGAGAAGAGACAAATTGGCGAAGGGCGCAGAGAGAAGAACTGAGCAGAGTAAAAGCCAGGATGGATGGGGAGCGATTCCAACCAGTTCTCCCCGGCTCGGATTACCAACATGTACGCAGAAATGTAAAAGCAAGACATGAACCCGGCCCGCTCGGGATCGATCCTAGGGCTCAACTGTCTGGATACCTCTTTATCAACTCTTGTCTCTGCCACTCTCTTCCGTCTCCTGTCTCCGTTTTCTCAGCATTTCACTTGCGTACCGCAGCCGGAACTGTGTCTAGTCAGCACAAGCCCCGGACTTGGCCACAAGTCTGCTGCTAATATTGCTACTAGTCTGCTCGCCTCAGCCGCCCGAGTCCGGAGAGCAAATCTAGATTTGTCGAGGTTGCCTCTGCCCTCCTCCGTCCAATCTGCACGGGTCCTGCACACTCCACACATTGCCAGCATCCCTCGTGATCACCAGCGGCGGCAGATGCATGCCAGCAATTAATCAACGATAGCCTCCCCTCTGCTGCTTCTGCCTGCGAGGTCAAAGTACGACAGGGACTGTCTGCAGCGGAAGCGTTGCGGCCCGCGTGCGCTGACGAAACGAACTGCGAGCCGACAACCGGCATCACGGAGCCTTCCTGAGACGGCCGAGTTACAAGTACATGGAGCTGCTGCATAAGAAGCGTCGTCTGTCGTCTTCCCTCTCCTGCGCACTCTCCCACTTTCACTCCTTCTCCTCTCCTCTCTCTTGACATTTCTCCCCTCTCCCTCCTCTCCCTCGATCTCTCTCTCCCCCTCTCCTCAACAGTCTCTCCGATTGCAGACATAGCACAAAAACCAAACCCATATCCATACCCCATCCTCCTCGCCAGATCAACCACCATGGGCGGCATCACGGCAGAAGCCTTTGCCTCGTCGCCTCCCCGGCCCTCGACTATTCCCAAGGGCACGCCGACGCCTCCTCCCGAGCAAATGTCGGAGCCCTACCATGGCTACTCGTTCCCCCATTCCAGGCTCAAGCGCCGCCTGACGCACGCAAACAAGACGCCGCTGGTCCTGGTCTCGTGCGGCAGCTTCTCGCCGCCGACGTCGCTGCACATGTCCATGTTCTCCGTCGCCGAGAGCTATGCCCATCGCACCGGCTTCGAGCTGGTTGGCTGCTACATGAGCCCATGCAGCGACACGTACGGCAAAAGCTCACTGGTGCCCGCTCACCACCGCATCAACATGTAAGCCCAAGTCCCTTTCCGTGCTCAAGGTTCAACTCCGTTAATCTGTGTACATCAGGTGCCGTCTCGCCATTGAGCAGACCGGCAGCAACGCCATGATCGACGACTGGGAGACGCTGCGCCGCGACGAGGCCGGGCGTCCCGTCTACACCCGCACCGCCGACGTGCTCAAGCGCCTGGACGAGCAGCTCAACGACGTCCTGGGCGGCATCCAGACCGCCGACGGCACCGCCTTTGTGCGGGCGCGCGTGATGCTGCTTATTGGGGCCGATCTTGCGCTGACCATGAGCGACCCCAAGATCTGGGCGCCGGCCGACATCGACGTCCTCCTGGGCTACTACGGCGCCTTCGTCGTCGAGCGGCCGGCTCTGTGCTCGACCCAGGCGGCCATCCAGCCGCTGAGCAAGTACCACGATAATATGATGGTGGTGCCGTCTTTCCAGAACGACGTCTCGTCCACAAAGGCGCGCGCGCAGATCCGCAACGGCCAGGTTGCACAGGATTTGCCGCGATCCGTCTACGACTACATCAAGCTGCACCACTTGTACCAGACCGTGCCTCCAAAGGCGGACAAGAGCAACAAGACGGACCTGGAAATGGTCTCGCCGCGTGTGCCGGTCGCCTCGCACAGATGAGTTGCACACTGGTGTGATGTAATGATAATGGCCACTGGGGAAGCGCATGCTGCCTTGTCTGACGCAACATACAGCAGGAAACTGTGAGTATGTTGAGGCAAACGAGCAGTGCCTTTTGGTTCTCCATATTGTACCAACTTTGCCTGCTTTTGGGCCTTGTGCCACCTTTGCATCAGCGCCAGTCCTTTGGTCTCTTTGGCAAAAGATGAGCCACGCATGATAGATGCTAGACTGTAGTGTCTCTTTCCTTTTTTCGGCCTTTCCTTGGTTTGGATCTTGGGTACGGAGTTTTCCTTCTTCTTCTTCTTCTTGAGATCACGCGGACAGCATTGCTTGTCCCATGTGCGCTTATTGCTCTATCACCTATGGATTATCTGGTGCCAACAAGGAGCCTGGCCGCCTGTTTTACGGAATCATCTGTCAAAAGACGGGAGTTTTTCTATACGGACTGTCTGTCTGGTGGACTTGAAACCAGGGCTTCTGAGACACCTGGTGGAAACAGGCTCGGATACGAACGTCGTGTTTGATCAGCTGGTCAGCCACCCAGCGTTCAAAGGTCTACTCGCGGAGGGTAACTGGAAAGAAAGGTCTATGTTGACGCGATTTACTGGGAAACAGTTACGGGCCCCGCGAAAGCGATCTTGGGATAGAGTTACTGGGGTTGATGAGCTTTGTCTGGGGGGCGATGTTTTGATGATTACGGTTTATGTCATATCCTGAGCGTTGAGCAGATTTACTTGCTCCGCATTACGTATTGTTTTTTCTCTACCCTCAACGTCCTGGGCTAATACAAAGAAGAAACCCGGGATGAGATTCACAGCTCCAAGCGAGCGGCAGAATCCTGCTGCTCTGCGGAGTACACCCTATCTCCTACCTCGCTTGTCTCGATTCTCCTTGAATGACTTGACACACAAGAGTGATGAAACATGTAAAGAAACAACCTGAAAAATGCGTTGCCATGCAGCCGCATTAGTGATCCAGGCCGGTTTCAGAACGAGGATTTCGTGTACGGGCTGGGCTGCGGACATGTCTCGGCTTCTCGGCGTTGAGCTATAGCGACTTCGGTGACCTAGGGTAAGGTATGCTGGGGTTGGCATGGTGATGAATGGTGAAGAAGCAGAGTCATTAGTCTACTCGTCTGCTCTATTCATCTTGAAGAGGTATTTTACTGCTGTGGAGCTTTGGTGTTCCTTGGGGAATAGAAATGGAAATGATATGACCTGGGTACGATGTGGTGCCTTGGTGGTATTTGTTTGGTAATTGAAGTGCATAAGGAGTAGGGATGGTGATATGTAGGGGCTTTCGAAGTCCGACATCGTATTTCACTTATAAGTCGTGCTGAAGAACGATCGAGTCAAAAGTGTCATAGTTCGTGGAAATAGTTATATCCCCCATAAGCAAGTACATCAGACTTAAAAGAAGATAAATCTGTTTTTAACAGACAGTTCTATGTACTTGTAAGAGCAAGTATCACACCGTAGCATATACAAAACAAGTCCGTCTTATACAGCCAAGCGCATCCACGCAAAACACGCTCCGTCGCGAACCAACGACATCCCCTGGTCAAACGTCATTCAGCCCATCCATCATGTTCCCATACGTAACCGAATGAACGACTGTCCTGCGCGTGTGAAGCAGCGAGACCACGCTGCCAGCCCAGTTGATACGATCCTTCGCCATCAAAAACACCTTGTAGCTCAGCCCCTTTGCGCCGTGAACCGCCGCAACCTGCTTCCATTCGCCGTGGAGCGCAGGCGACATTCTCCACCATGTGCTGTGCCAGCGAACGATGCTGTCCGCTCCCTTGCCGTGGGTGGTGTAGGTGAAGATGGCCTGGTGGCCCTTGTCCACGTAGTACAGCTCCATGACCCTTAGCTTCGGCATGTGGCGTGCGGCGCGGGCGGCTGTCTCCAGCAGAGGAGATATCTCGTCGCTTCTGTGCGGCGACATGGCGGGTGAGGTCAGCACCAGGGAGGTGAGGTTGGGCCATCCCAGCTTCGACAGGGGCCGGTTGATCTGGGCTTCTCTAAAGTCCCAGAGAAAGTCTCTGGCGTCGACGACGAAGGAGATTGCAATTTCCTCTGGTCTATCGTTCTGGGTGATGTCTCCCAGTAGACGACCCAGGGAACCATCTACTTCGCCCGTCTGCATGCCATGAGAGTCTTGGCCGTAGAGTCCGGGACCATGTGCAAAGATCTGCAAGCGTCTGGGGCACATGGCCATCCTGTTCGCCATTCCCACGAGCATCCTAAGGTGCATGTGTGGAAAAAAGTCAGGCGCATGGCCGTGGGGCTCGTAGGCCAGGGAGGCAAGGCTGGGAAGGGCGGCGACGATGTGTTGGACGTAGGGGAGGAAGAAGCTGGCATGCGTCTGTCTGCGCAGGATGACGTCCGTGATCAAGTCCACACGCGGGAGTGGGCGATTGTCCCCGAAGGAAACTCTCCGCGGCATGTAGGATTTCCGCACGAGTCTGACGGTTTCCATCTCGTGGAACGTCAAGATGCGCATCGGGCTGGGCCGCTGCTCATAGAGAGCGCGCAAGGTCTCGCTCTCGACCGTCAAATCGACCCCCTTGAGCGACTTCGGAACGATGCCCTTGATGGAGTATTCGACATCGTCGGGGGAGAAAGCCGTCAGTTCCAGGGCGATGCCCGGTAGATGCGGGCTTCTCTTGGGCCAGTCTCCCAGGATGAGGAAGAGCTGATATATTGCCGCCTCGAAGAGCGAGCAATCTACCTGGGGCCGAAACTCATTGCGTATTGGTCGTCCCTGCTTCTCAAAACGGAACCAGATGTGTCGAACATACGACTGCCGCCTCCCGGTAACGATTGTCTCCAGCTCGTGGAGATTGCCCAACGTCAGCGTCAGTCGCCGGAAGACTTGGGGCTCGAAGCGTCTGTGCCATTCTTTGGAAACTGAGGCACAAACAGACGCCTTTGTTTTGCCGGCCTGTATCGACTCTTCCACGTGGTCGAAGACCATGTTTCTCAGCTCCGGGGGCAGCTTTGCCCAGGAGCATCCTTTATCCTGGCTTTCCGTCTGTGTGGGCTTTTGACTTTGAACCTGGCCCTGGGAGGACATTGTCGAATCGGAAAGAGCCATTGCGAGAAGTTTGACTGAGGATGCTACGGTTCGACAGGATTTAATATGATCCAAGACTGATTGCCAGACGTATAACTGAGAATGGTGCAGATCACTTTGATTTGATTTGATTTAAAAGGCCAATGAATACATAGATAAGCATTGACAGTCGTGGATGAAGAAGAGAACAATGAGGAGAAGAAGGTGACTTGGGTCAGGGTTGAAGCTAGTATTTGAAGTAAATATTGTTGGGGACATCTGTGGGAAGGACTCAATTCAACGTGGCTCAAGCTTAAGTTAAGCTTCAAGGTGATCCGATTAAGCCTATTTTGATGGTAGAGTTTTCTAAGTATCGTGCTGCTAATCTAGCCGAGAGGATTCTGGGCTCTGGTGTTTTAAGACGAGAGTAATTCCCAACAAAGCCATCCAGCATACGGCATGTTCATTGGACTACCTACTTTACATGTACCTTCCTGCATGATAATCTCGGCACTCATGCCTAGAGAATAACAGGCAACGCTGGCAGGAAGTTGGACGTGGCTACCCGCTTTCATTCTTCCCCTGGTATTGGAGTTTTTCTACCCTTGGCTTATAACTACCAAGTTGCAATGTCAGGGGGTCTATCTTCAAATCACAAGCTGCCCCAGTTGACATATATTCAAGGGTTCGACAGTCCTTAAAATTGTCAGTGAAAACTACAACTACTCCCTTTTAAGGAAAAATAATCAAATTCGCATACAATCTCATCAATTCGGAATAACACGCACTCGTGATCGACGAAAGCCACATGATGTGGTTTTGCCCATGAAAAAATAGAGCTCAGTGTATATTGATCTATCTTACTCGCACAACACGGGCCAGAAGAGTTGTGACAGAGATTATTGGTGCTCGTATAGAAACATAGTAGTACTAGAGCATATCATCTTATGGAGGATGGAGGCTTCACACTGAGGACAGTCAAAAGTTTGACCCATAACTGATAGGAGCTATTCGTGGAATCAAGGGAGAGGGCGTATCTCATATCAGCTTGTCGGATGAGACTTGGGAATGATAGCAAAAACGTATCGGACCCAATGGAAGAATGGGTATCTAAGGCTTTCGTCGCAGTCATACGTATAGGCAGCCCGCAATTGTTGCATTGGGAGGATTTTCACACCAAGCGCCTGCGATCAATAATGGAGTCTCAAAGAGGTTCATGTAATTGTGGCCATATACACTCGGAGGCTTGTTGAAGCATTTGGAGAGGTCCGCTTCAGGGGCCCTAGCTGTAGGGGATCAAGGATATCAATGAATTGTCTGATGAAGGCTTCAACTAAGCATCAATAACGACTATCCAATGATGATGTATGCCCGATGCAGCCCAGACCTTTTGATAATTTGTCACTATTGTATGTGATACACAGAGTATCACGTGCCTCTCGATCTTAAGCTGTAATAAGAATTTTTCTGTGCTTCACTGAGATGACCTATTTCCAGCAACGGGAAACGTAACCCCTGAGCCAAGTACGATATGTGCGAGTGTGTCCGAGTTCACTTGCTCTAACAGAGACAATGATGATTGCAACTCAAAAACCTACACCAGGTTGAGCGGATAGTTACAGCTTAGAACCTACTCTGTCCCGATCACCTCTTTAATGCTCTCTGGTACATGAGGCTCCTTTAGCTGCTGCCATGCCGTTCAACGATAGCATAGCTTCATTTTAAGCTTACCCTTTACGTTCTCTATGCTGACTCGAACGTAAAGATTATTCTACGCCTTGAACCAGCAGCTGCAAAAGTAATGAGAGTGACTGTCAGAGATAACTAACTGCTCTACGAACATCCAACTTTCTACTCTGCCTTGAGTAGCCCGCCAGATCCGAGTACCCAAGCCAGGATGATTAGCCATTGGCAAAAAAGGAAGGCAAAGGAATCTGCACTGAGTCTTTGGCTTTGAAATCATAAGACGGATAAGATACAGCAAAAATGCAAAAAAACATACAACAGCCGGTGTTCGCTGGTGGTCACCCACCCAACTACTAATCTGCCGGTTAGTGGCTTGTCTATGGGGGAGCAGACGGGACCCCGAATTTTCCACTACCTATGGTCGTATGTGATAGGAGGTGGGACTTATTCGCCTCATATCCACAAGGGACACGAGATTACAACGAATGTGTGAAAACATGTGGTCGTCGGAAGTGAGCGAGTTGTTCCAGGAAGCCATTCAAAACTAAGGAGGCAGTGACGAAGTATCACGCGAGGCCAGGTGTTTCTTAGCGAAGAATAACGAATCTCCACGAGCCAAAATAAGTGATTAAATAACCCAGTAGCTGCCAAGCCTCGAGAACTGTTCTACAACAAGTGAACTCGTCCACCTGTCTTCTTTGCAACTCTGATCCGCCTAAGGCTCGGCTTCAATATGGGTACTTTGGCAAGGACATTACGTAGATGATATCTTAGTTACCGAAATGCTGAATGCATCAAGCTTGGTGACTTAAGTTGCGGCTACATTGAGCCTTACAGGAAGAAGTGGGATGTACATGGTCCGTCGATGCTCAACAGAGAGAAAGAGAACATAAACAAGATTCAGCTCTGGGGTGTCTGTTACAGGTATATTTTCTCTCATATATACGAGACTGAAGCACAGCTCGGATCAGTGCAGAAGTTCAAAGCCAAGAATGTCCACATACGGCGCAGGTTGGGAGGGCATGGCCAAGTATTTGCAGCCAGCGAAGCCTTGAGCACCTTGTTGCGCCTATCCAGCGCAATGACGACAACCCGCGAGCTGAGCCGATGCTGCCTGACTGTCTTACCACAAGAAAGTTGACAAAATGCAACGGTGGATCCTGCCGCTCTCGCTTTCGCTTCGCTGCCGTTGATCCTTTGGGGCTGCATTTACCTGAGGGGCGCATATGCGGGTGCTGGGATTACTGCCACTATCGATTTGAATGGCACCGTTGATATCAATCTGACATGCATTGGACGCATGTCGGCAGGCTGTCCGAGAAAACTGAGTGGCGTCCCTGTGTTCTGTAGGATTGGGACCGATGCTTGATGCTAGATACTTCAAGATACCTATGTTTATTCTTCAGCAGGTATCTCACGATACTACATGGGACTCCCCTGCAATGTTCAATCAGCACTATATACGAGTATGTCCACATCAGCTACTGTAAGTCCCCGGCAAGTCTTCACTCCAAGGCGCTCTGTATCAGCAAGTCACAGGGGTTGAATGTCATCTCTCCTTTGTACGATCCTCCATTACTATCGACTCTTAGGGCAACACGGCCATAGACCAAGATTGAGCACCTTGAGGGAGCATTGCTCACGAGGTCACACAAAGCTTGCTACCTCTTCACAATGAAGCAATGGCAAGGTTACCTTCACTTTCTGTGGCATCAATTCACTTCCGGATCCGTATTCCGGTTCAACAAGCATCATGCAAATACACTGGCCCGTCTATCATCTCTCCGAACACTGAAAGAACAACACGACTCGCGCGTCTATGTCCATGAGAGCACCAGCAAAGGCAGCGAAGATGACAGAGAAAGCGATGATGTTTGGGGCTTCAAAGATACTTCATATCGCGCCAATGCCGACGGGACGGTGGAAGTGACGGGATCCCGGTATCTCCTTAGCGGTTGCAAGCTGCCGTCGCTTTTGCCTTGGGCCAGCGATGTGCTTGGAGTTGAGGTACCTCGCCAACCAATGCTGAAGAGTTTGGAAGTTCCCATACCTGAGCCGCAACATGTCAATGGCGAGTTCCTGGATTCGCTGAGACAGGTGGTGCTGCTTCGAGAAGATCAGATGAGTCGTGAGGCCAAAGACCGGAGGAGACACGGGCATGGCCATACCCAAGAGGAGATGTATGCCATCAAATACGGCCCAGGCCTTGCTCGTGTGCCCGATGTCGTTGTCTATCCGGAGTCGGAAACTCAGGTGATGGGTATTGTGGAGGCAGCTCGACAGACGGGAGTCTGTCTGATTCCTTACGGAGGCGGAACAAACGTGAGCGCCGCTCTAAAATGTCCATCAAAGGAGAATGGCGAGACTCGCATGATCGTCTCTGTTGACATGCGACGAATGAACAAAATCATATGGATCGATCCCGTCAACCGACTCGCGGAAATTGAAGCAGGGGCAGTAGGGAGCAACATTATGGAGGCCCTGGAAGAGAGAGGATTCACCCTGGGCCATGAGCCGGACAGCTGCGAGTTCTCGACCTTGGGAGGCTGGATTGCGACAAATGCCAGCGGGATGAAAAAAAATCGGTACGGAAACATTGAAGATGTCGTGCTTGATATGCGCGTTGTCATGCCCTCGGGGGCTGTCATGACGAAGGGCAGCACCAGCGTTCATCCTCGGGAATCCACTGGCAGCAATCCCCTTCGATACACATTTGGCTCAGAGGGTACCCTGGGAATTGTCGTCTCTGCTGTAGTGAAGCTGTGCCCGCTTCCGGAGGCCACAGAGTATGCTGCTGTCTTGTTTCCCACATGGGAAGATGGAGTTCAATTCATGTATGAGCTTCGACACTCCAATTGCCAGCCCGCCAGCGTTCGACTGGTGGATAACGAGCAGTTCCGGATGAGTCAGGCACTTAAACCAGCTCCGTCATCGAGCTTCCTAGGAAACACGCTTGCTGGCCTCAAGCGTAAGCTTGAGCACCTGTACATACTCCAGATCAAAGGGTTTGGTCCGCGAGAGGTGGTAGCTTGTACCATGGTGTTTGAGGGCACCAAGTCGGAAGTCAATATTCAGGAACATGTCGTCAAGCGTCTGGTGAAAAAACACGGTGGTGTCAATGCCGGTGCAGAGAACGGCAGACGGGGCTATCAGATGAGGTACAACATTGCCTATATCCGCGACTTTGCCATTCAGCATTATGTCTTGGCCGAATCATTCGAAACAAGCGTCCCCTGGTCACAAGTCCTGGATCTGTGTGACCGTGTTAAGGCCCGTCTGAGAAGAGAACACGAAGAGAGGCGACTTCAAGGGAAGCCATTAGTGACGTGCCGAGTGACGCAGTTATACGAGACGGGAGTCGCGGTATATTTCTACTTCGGATACTACTTTGAAGGGGTTTCTGAGCCGGAAAAGGTCTACGCTGAGATGGAAGAGGCCGCAAGGGAGGAGGTTTTGCTGGCTGGGGGTTCACTTTCACATCATCACGGGGTTGGGAAGCTGAGAAACAAGTTTTTGGGTAGTGCTTGGTCGGAAGCGGCCTTGGAGTGGCGAGACGATGTGAAGAGGGCTCTGGATCCGCAGAATGTGTTTGGGTGTGGGAACCTGGTAAAGCCCGGCAATTCTCATCATTGAGACTATCTACTACAAGTATTAATAGCGTGATTCAGGCTCCTTCTTTTGTCAACTCTTCTTCAGCTGTTGGTGAAGAGGTATCGCGCCTGTGACTGTAGTGATGGCCTTTTCGAGCGCAGGGAAGAAGCCGAGGGCAGTCAATGGGCGGTTCATCCATCCAGTTGTGATACAATAATAACAATCGTGAGGGCGTATATGGTGTAGATGATGATGCTGCCGCGACATGAGCAGTCCAACATTCTGCAAGCCTCTCACCAACGCCGGCGGCTGCTCCATATGAGCCCAGCAATGGAACTGGTTGGTATATCCGCAAAACAGTGCAAACGACAGCCAGAAACTCGCGGCTGTCAAAGCTGAAAGTCTGTCCTGCGACCCAAGAGCAGACGAAGCTATCCGCAGCAGTGGAATGCTGACAATGAGGTTGTTACCGTTCAGCTCCAGGAAGCCGTGCCGGGTGATGGACCGTGGGTCAATGTGGTGATGCCGAAAGGGCCAGATGAAGGCGGGACCGATGCCGGGCCAAGAGCTGCTCCCCCAGTTGTCGGCGGCCCAGTGGACGATTCCGGAGACGATGTCAGCGGCGAGGATGCCGACGAAGATGGCTAGGGCTATGTATAAGTAGAGGACGGAGGATGAACCGATGTCGTCGGATAGGAGGTGGTCGTATAGCTTCTTTGTGGTGATGGCGGCTTGGGCGAAGAATACCGTCACGCCACAGAGCTCCATCAGGACGATGGATAGTGTGCGCTCTTCGCTGACATGTTCGGCCTAGAAGGTGCAATGATGAGACATGTTGTTAGCATTCGTGGCTGCTACACAGGGTTTAGGGATTCAGGACTTCAGGCCGGCTTGGAAGGTCAAATTGAGGCGCTTACATCTTCGGGCTGTTGAATATTGGTATCCATGTCTATTATGGGACATTGAAATTGACAACGATGTGTCTGCTATGCCAGAATCCAGCAGCCAAAACTATGTACAAATCTCCATATATATTGCCTAGACTATATGTTCCCAGGAGACCCGATATGGTAGGATTTGCCCCCTTACATCGCCGCCCAGTTGCAGTCCGCCGACATCACAGATACCACGTGCAAGGCAAAGGATTCCTGATGTATAGTAAAATTATCTCCAAGACAGCACCGACTTACGTGTGTCGAAGGAGCTGGGGTTGCGCACGCTAGAAGCCTCCCATGCAACGTTGAGCAGGCCTTTCGATCTAATGCGCCCGCCTGGGACGTGCATTAGTAGTGGTGGTAAGCGCAGGGATCTGACACGAGTTGAGGATTCATTTGACAGGGTGCAAGGCATGACTTGAACGTGAAGGTGTTCTATATCAGTGACTGTAAATATGTCATGGAGAACTACTAGACGAGGATAAATGTACTGTTGTACGCGTGCTCATACGAGTAGGCATATTGATGGGAAACCGATCATGTCCAGTTGATGCTAACCCGGGCGACAGATGCCGCGGCAGTTCACCAGACATTCATCCCTCTGCAACCTGCAACTCTTTCATATGTCGATAGCCGAATGGACTCCTCCATCTCCCCCTATCCGGTTAAGGATGTGCGTTTCCGCATAGTGATTCTCTGTCTTTGCATCTGCTGCTTCATCTCTTCCCTCGATACCATCATCCTCTCCTCGACCCTGCCCGCCATTGCAGCAAGCTTGCAAGCTACCACGACGGATGCATATTGGTGCAGCGCAAGTTTCTTATTCGCCCAGAGCGTTGTCCAGTTAATCTATGCTGTCGTTGCTCGTGCGCTGAACCGTCGAACATGCATGCTCGCTGCGTTGGCATTCTTTGGCTTTGCTACTATTTTGTGTGCGACGGCTCGTAATATACGATGGCTGATTGCGGCGAGAACCGTGAGTTGCTGTAGTGAAATGTTGATTTGGGTTCTCCTGACTTGTTCATAGATTCAAGGTGTTGGCACGGGCGGAATCAATGCGCTCGTTCAGCTTATCTTGACGGATATCGCTCCCCTGGCTGAAAGGCCCAAGTACACAGGTATCATCACCCTCTTCTCGGCCCTGGGCTTGGTATCTGGAGGTCTCTGCGGTGCCGCCACTGTACAACACACGACATGGCCATTGTGAGTTTGATCCACTGCTTGAAGAATTGGTCGCTGTACGACTAACGACGTTGTACAGAATCTTCTGGATCAACCTGCCATTATGTGTTCCCGTCCTCGTTGGGTTTGCCTGGTGTCTTGATGCTCCGCCACGGGAACGGTCCGTCTGGACAGCCATCAAGAAGACGGACTGGGGCGGTGGTATCATCGTGACCGGATCTTTGGCGGGAATTCTTTTTGCTCTCAACAGCGGAAATGCCGTATATCCCTGGACGTCCGGGAGGATCTTATCTCCCTTGATCTGCGGGTGTGTTGGTCTTGTTGTATTCGTGATATACGAGAGGTTCGTTGCCAAAGAAGGTGCCATTCTTCCCGGGAGGCTCTTCTCCAACGTCACGGCGGTGTCTGCTTATCTCATGGGGCTTCTCCATTCGATCATTCTCTGGACTGCAACATACTACTTCTTTCTATACGTGAGATCTTCTTCAGTTTCTATTGGCACTTCCCAAGACTAACCATTCTCTCCCACCATACAGCTTACGTTTTGCTCTCATTCGTACTTGCGTGCCGCGATTCTGATGCTTCCTGCTACCCTCACGTTCCCGCCGGCTGCTGCCATCGCCGGACACGTCATTGGACGTACACTCAAATATCAACTGGCCAACGTAATTGGCTTCGCTTTCCTCGCGGGAGGCCTCAGTGGTCTGGCCACTCTTGATGAGTCTTCCGCTGTTGGTCTCCAAGTAGGCCTCTTGCTCATCATGGGAACTGGATTCGGCATTCCCTTTATCAGCAAAGTCTTCATGGCCCAAACTGCCGTCGCAGAAGATGATCAGTACATGGCTACGGCCATCGTGGCGACAGTGACGAGGATTGGAGAGTGCTTTGGAGTGGCCATTTCAAGCACCACGTTTCAGAACAAATGGGACACTCTCCTCAACAAAGAACTGACACACAGTAATCTGACCGTGGTGATCAAGGGAAGCGATGCGGAACGAAGTGCTGCTCTAATTGCGACGCTTGACAAAGCGACGCAAGGCTTCTATCAGCATATTGCCATGAAGAGTTTTCAGACAGTTTGGATCGTGATGGTGTCTTTAGCGGGAACTGCTCTCATCTTGTCTCTCATCATCAGAGATGCGAGGCCGAAAGAAAAGACTCCTTCAGAGTCAAGCGTCGAAGCTGCTATCCCAGACAACGACAAAGCATAATCACAGTTGTGCTATATTGATCTAGCCATAGTGGTTCTTCCGTATCCTGTTCCATCTTCTATCTCAATCAAGGCTCGTTTCCCTCAGAAGGCTGAGGCCGCGATGCTGTTCCTGAGAGTTCCAATACCCAGCCAGATAGACCACAAGCTCAGCACATGCAGAATATTATGGCTACCACCAAAGTAGTCAAATCGTCCAGGCCAATAGCATTCTGGAAACTGCGAAGCGTAAAGAATGGCGCCCACCATGATGGGCCCGTACGCCGGCATCATCGGTCCGTAGAGATCCAGAGTTGCATGTAGCCCCTTTGTCCACAGCAGATGAACCACAGGCATCGCAACGCCCTCAGAAACGAGTCCAATCCATACACCGATTCGGAGCCATGAGCTTCCTGTCGCCCGCATGATTGGGAGCCAGCAGGAGGCTATTGCCGCGGTGCCGAGAACCGTGGAAATGCCCATGTACGTAAGCTGCTGATAGGGGGAGTCGGCAAAGGCGCTGAACTGCGTTATGAGAACGGAAGCAAGGGCGAGGCTAGTCACCCCCATGAGGTCCATGGAGGAGAAACAGGACAGGGTGGTGCCAGAGGAGATGCAGCGCATCGTGTGCCAAGAGACACTACATGCGGTGCAGACAATGGCTGCGGCCAGGTACATGTAATAGATGCCGATGAGACCTTCTGTGAGGTAGATCTTGGTAGGGTCGCTGTACTCTGGCACCGACGGATGGTTATATGCGAGAGTCTTGATCAAGTAGAGGAAGCCGAGCAGGTGTGACCAGATGTTGAAGGATTCATTATGGAGACGGAAGATGGATTGGATACAGGATGTACATGACTCAGTGAACCGGTAGCCATGGAAAATGTATTCGTTATGACGCCATGGTATTGGAAGCCCGGAAATGTGGATGAGATTCGACTTGGCTTTCCGGGCCGCAGCCAGAGCGCGGCTGATCTGTTGATCCAGCTCCTTTTGCGTCGACATGTTGATTGTCGGTGTTGTTATAATTGCTCCAAGCTGCAGTGAGACTGTCCACGAATGGCTATAACTTGGGCCCTTTTATCCAGAGACGATCATTTATTGGCGGTCTGTCCAACAACAAGGGCGTGAACTGACTCAAAGCCCAAATAAGCTATACAGGGGTGGCTCTTTGCTTCGCAAAGTCTGCTGGACCAGTGATGGAGTACTTGGGGGTACCTTGGAGAGTGCTGGTCAAGGTATCCGTGGCTTTGTTAGCCTGCCGTCCACAATTAGGGCTGACGAAGGTCCAGATGGAGATGAATCCTACCTGATGCTAGCAGGGCCCTCTTGCTGGCCCCCAACAAGGGTCCGTACGTGTGCATAGTAAGCTGATGTGGGAGCGGCTCTTCCCTAGACACGGCCCGGCTCGGGCCAATACACGTCACAAGTCAATTGCTATTGTCAATATTGACAACTCTTGTGGCAAATTCATCGCGATAGGCGTGAAGAATCCTCAGAAGTTCCTGAGTCTAGGCTCTTACATACAGTCATATGCTTTGCTAGCAGCGTTGCTTTTGCGTTGATGCACCTCGTAAGCAACGGGCCGCCTGGCGAAGTTACCAACTATTTCTGACTCTGGTTGCTGAGCGTACCCCTGTTCTAGTTCCTGTGCTTCTTTAGAGGAGCTCTAATGCGCTCCCAGTCATTGACTCTCAACACCCACTGCGCCAATGGTTGTCTATTGCAAGCTATTGTATTTCGTATTTAGCCGGAATTGATTTTCTATCAGAAGTTTGCCGAAGCGACTTATCCGGCCTACTTTGCCCCCCTAGAGATATCCATTTCAGGTGCTATGAGTCTCGTCAAACGCTAGGATGATACTTGGTTATTAGATTAATGATCAGAACACCAAGGATCTCCTGCTACCGCACCTTTGCCCGCATCGAGGGAGCTGGTTCCTGGTCTATCCCATTTTCTCCACCCTTGGTTGTGCGGCCATTGATAGCTTTCTTACTTCGTATTTCCGCCGTATTGAACCTTAAAGATACTCGGGGTTACTGTCAAGTGCCTAGCTGATGTTATCAACACCTAGTTAAGATTAGAACTAATATCTGAGCGACGATAGTCCGCCGGCTGATGTGGGTTTTGTTATCTTCAGGCGTAAGAATTGCTCCGCGGAACACATGTAGTTCACTGTGTGATACCGATTCATGAGAGTAGAGGCGACAGATGTCTGCATAAATATGGGGCAAGTTTTCAGCTTCAATGTGTTTGAGCAAGATTACCAAAAAGGGGGTGTTGCATGGAGCATGTACCTCGTACAACCACATGGGGGTGATGTAGCTTGAGGTATCAGTCGAGGGCTGGATTTGGAATTTCCAGGAGCTGAAAGGATAGGTCAGAGAAATCGGACAAATAGATGGTTACTTACCTTTGATGGTATCACTCTGTGCTGGCCTTCATGTGTTTATCCCGACTATACATCCGAAGCTCCACAGACTTTCTCTTCCGTCTCAGTTACTCAACATTCAAGCTAGAAGATAGTCAGCTAAGACGCTTCATTGATGTGTGGCACATTCTTCGCTTTAACTAGCGTTTGAACCCGTTGATGGATTTGACAAGTCAGAATCTGATCAACAACCGAAGAGTCACTAGGAAGTTGTGACAAAAAACTCTATCCTGTTGGGGGTTGTACACACAGCATGTCAGAGCATCAAGCCAATGGGAAGACAATCTTCCTCACCGGGGCCACAGGGTTCCTCGGGAAAGTGGTTCTCGAAGAACTCATACGACGACGCTACGAGTTGAATGTGGGAAAGGTCATTGTTTTGATCCGTCCCTCCAAGCAATCAACCGTCGGAATTGCAACAAGAGAGGCCGACCTTGCTTCTCGCTTCTATGGCGAGGTCGCAACGTCAAAGTGTTTTGCAAAACTACCTTCTGATTGGACTCGACATGTTCAGCCCGTTTATGGAGATCTGGGCCAGGCACACTGTGGGCTGGATGCTTCTACCTACGAAAGCATCAGTCGAGAAACCACTCATATCATACACTGCGCTGCTTGCGTGCAGTTTGATCTTTCACTCAGCGAATCGCTCGACATCAACTTGAAGGGAACACTCGCCATTCTTCAATTGGCTCGAATGTGCCTCAAGCTCGAGCGTTTTGTATACACATCCACAGCATACGTGACTCCTCACAAAGGAAACAATCCAATACATGAGGTGTTAGCACCTCTGGGTCCTTGGATAAGTGCTCAAGAGATACTCGATACTTTATACTCAGGATCGATTAACGAGACGGAGCTATTGAGACAGACCGGCCACCCCAACACATATACACTCTCGAAATGCATCACGGAGCATATTGTCTTGAAGAGCTGTGACAGCATCCCATTAATCATTGTACGCCCAAGCATCATCACTGCAGCGCTGGAACGTCCATACCCGGCATGGTCTGATAGCGCCTCAGCCGGCGTTGGACTTGTGCTGGGTGTCCAAGATGGCGGCGTCAGTGCTCTTACGGGCAACCCTACAGCATTTGTGAACCTCGTTCCTGTTGACTTTGTCGCCGACTTTCTCGTCGACGAGGCCTTTCACACAAAGGCTTCAGTGTCAACATCACCAATTGCTCACTGTGTATCCGGGATGAGGATGATAACGCCGAAGCTCTTCTCTTCAGTTAGCGCCAGGTATTTCCAACACACTGAACTGCGATGGCTTGATTACCGGACGTCTCCAACATCAAGGCTGTACCGCTACGTATGGCAGACAATGCCGCTCAAGATTGCCAGCACACTTTGCTGGGCTGGAGGGGATGGTCGTGCCGTGAGGCAATTGACTCGAGCGACGCAGAACATCGACACACTGGACCAGAGTTTTGGATATTTCCTGTCAAACTCGTTCCAGTTTACCGCGAGCCGTCCAACTCTGGCGCAGAGAGCTCCCTCCTTTGAGCCGGCAGCATATATGCATATTATCTTCAGGGGGGCACAACAATTCCTGATGCGCCGCGCTCGCGACCGGGATATGGTGTCCACGGAGAGACTAATTGCTGGGCAGGGTGTCCATAACGGGGGCGAAAACGCCCTGAAGCTGTTTTTGACTTCACGAACCAGCGCGATCTTCCGCTTCACCGCTGTCATTGTCGGAGCGGCTCTGGGACGGATGTTTCAGCGAGTCACATTTGACCAGCAATCCTTCTTTGACGCTTTAGAAGACTACAATTCAGGGCCTTCGGACGAGAGGATCATCATCATGCCCACCCATCGAAGTTATATGGACTTTGTCATATGTCCCTACCTTTTCTACCAGTTCTCCGTCTTGGGAGTAAAGGTCCCACGCATAGCGGCACAGGACCAGTTCGCTAGAATTCCTGTCTTAGGATGGCTCTTAACCAAGCTTGGGGCTTTTTATGTTCGACGAGGTGTTGGTAAAGCCGATCCAGAGCTCAATGAGCAGGTCCGCCAGCTGGTTGAACAGGATGAACACATTCTCTTCTTTCCCGAAGGTCAACGAAGCCGCTCTAGAGAATTTCTACCTCCCCGACGAGGTCTTTTGCGGTCGCTACAGAGCACAGGCAAATCTTTCAAGATCTTGCCGGTTTCTATCAGCTATGAGAGAGTGCCGGAAGAGGAGTGCTTTATAAGGGAGGCACAAGAACAAGAAAGACCGCAGATGACCCTTGTAGGACTTTTACGTTGGACATACAATATGGTCCTTGGACGAGTGAAGCTTGGCAGAGTCCACGTCAAGTGTGGCAGGATGCTGGAACTCAAGCCTGAAACTGATATCCATGCCCTCTTACACCAAGTTATGGGCGAGCTGCAAGCGAATACTGTCTTGACGACATATCACCTGGAAGCGTTTGTGAGCCAACATCGCCGAGAGTGTCGGTGCTCAGCTCCTTGCGCCATTAGCAGACCGAAGCGGCAGTCCGAAGCGGTGGATTGGCTGCGAAGCCAGCTCGAAGAACGAGGAGCAACGATCCTCGAGGGCGGCCTTTCTGTGGATGAGAATCAGCAGGTATCCTCTGTGGTTGCCGAGAGTCTCACTAATCAGTGGATTCATTTCTTTGATCGCGAGACAACTGAGGTACCACTGAGTACGGCTGCCGCTGAGTATAGCGTTTTGGGGATGCCTCGACTTCAAGATGTGGCTGCTTGAGGATGCAGGTTGTTTGGGCAGGGGGTTGAAACGGAAAAAGTCCATTAGTACCTTACGTAGAATCTCGGGATATAAAGCATTAGCTAGTCAAAATTCACCAAAAACTGATACTGGTAATGCCTCGAAGATGCTTCCCATTGGTCTGAGCGTCTATTGCTGGCGACTTTGATAGAAGTCGCTGTGAGATGTGGTCGGCATCAGGGCAGGTGTTATAGGCTGTGGTGTAAGGGTTCCAAGCACATACGACCATAGGTAGTGGAAAACTCGGGGTCCCATCCGCTCTCCCATAGTCAAGCCAATAAGAGGCAGATTAGTAGTTGGGTGGGTGACCACCAGCGAACACCGGCTGTTGTATGTCTTTCTTTTTTACCTCATCTTCAACTTGGGGTCTTTTTGATCTTCTCAGCCTCCTGAACAACTTGCATACAAACGTGCATGTCATCGGGCACGTGCGCAATCTCGATTGGATGACATGCTTTCGATTGTCTTATCTGGATCCCAATTTACATGTGACAGAGTCTAAGACACGCGCCATTGGCTTGATAATGGAATCATAGGAGAACGCAATTTCCTCGATATTGTCAGAAAGGTCAATACAAAACGAAATAGAACACAAACAAGATTTATCAAATGGGAAGAAAGCTAGTCAAGTTTCGTATGCGCTTGAAATAGGTTCCGAAGTATTCAACGGTGCCACCTAGTTGAAAAGACCTTTCATGGTGCTGACGCCAGTCTTGGGCTTGGGCAGTTGAGGCAGGAGAGTCTGAACCCAGCCAACAATCTGCGGAGCCTGAACAGAGATTCTTCAAGATGTCAGTAACTCACTTTTATCGTGGAAATGATCGTATGGTGAAGGGGCGACGTACTTGCAACCAGTCGCAGTGGACTCCATCTTGGTTCGGGACTTGGACTTGGACGAGTTGTGGGACCCAGAGACTGCAAAGGGGCCGTACCCGACGGAAAGGTTGGCTGAGGTCGACGATGCAGAGACGGCGCTTTCGAGCTTGGTTGTGTCTCCGGAGAACTGGAGTTGACTGTTCAGACTGAAACTCTGAAAAGGCATGGGCTGACGGGCGACTTACACTGAGCTCCACATCGGCAGCGACGACAAATGCAGTGGGGAACGAGGAGAACTGCTGGTACTCGCCGTCGAGGGTTTGCTCCTGTTCAAACGCCTTCTTGAGCGCATCTTCGCCGGGCGAGACTTTGAAGCTGTGGAGTTGTACGTGGTCAGCAGAGGTCTTGGGTCACAGCCGTGGTGGTGGTGGAAGAGGAGGAGGGGGAGGAGGACGAGGAGACGCTTGAAGACTTACTTTCCAGAGTCAAGCTCGGCATCAGCGAAAAGCTCCGCGTGAAGCCAGGGGCGTTCAATCTCCACGACCATGCAGCTCATGCTGATTTCAACGTCGAGGTTGGACATTTGCTGCATCGCCTCACTGATAGAGTACTTAGCATGGCAATCCCTTGGCGGTATTAGTTGAGGGTTATAGACTCACGAGCTGCTCTCTGCGTGTGTCGCGCTGGCGGAAGCGCTCCACCATCCCCAGCCTGCCTTGGCTGCAACTGCAGAGGCGGATTGCGACGTAGAAGTCTCCGCGAGATTAGCTTTGGCGGAAACCTTGCATGAGATCTGTGACAGGTCAGTTCTTGTGAGTTCGGAGCAACTTATGAGCTTTTGTCAGTTGTTGAAACTTTACCTTTGTCCAAGGATCCGGCCCATCGTCGGTCCTGTTACGCCAGGTCTCCTCGTTGTCCAAGTCTTCAATATCCGGCTTCCTCGGGCTCTTGATACCTAAGTACTGTGTTAGCCATCTGACGTGCGAATTCCGAGTCGCATCGTGACAAAAAGGAGGAAGATGACTTACTGGGGTCGGCCCTGGCTTCGTCGTCTGTCACGACAATGCCATTTCCGTTCACAACAGGCAGGGCAAGGAGTTGAGCCTGGGCTTGCTCGGCACCCCTTGCCACGCCGAGCTGCTCTTTGAGATCGGCGATATCTGCCTCCAGCTGACTGATCCTGGCGCCCAGCCATTGGCCAGCCTTATCCTTGTTCGCATTCTGGGTATCACGCACAGTCGCATTGGTGCGGCTAAGGCTCTGCTCTGTGTTTACCTTCTGCACGTTGACGAGATTGTCCAGAGCGGCCGCACCCTCCAGGCGGTCTTTGCCGAACTCCCTCTTCAGCCAATCAGCTTTGGAGCGGTCATCAGCAGGTGGCGTATCGCCCTCCTTCTTCTCGGTGAGAAGGCGCTTGTTCTCCTCGTCCATGTTGGCGTAGACCTGCGCGTAAGCGGCTTGCAGGTCGCTCTGACCTGCGTCCTTGTTGCTCGCGAGAATAGGGAAGAATGCATCCTCGTCAATGGCCTTATTAGATCAGCATGGATCACTCCGAGTATAATTGGCAGCAATTGTTTCATCATAGATCTCACCTTCTGTAGGGTCTGGTGAGACACCAGCAGGTTCTGGAGACGACGAAGCTCGGCGCGAATCTCAGCGGCAGACGGCCCCGAGTTGTTCTTTTTCCAATTGAGGACCTTCTTGGCCACTATGGTCGCCCTGGGATTGACAGTGAGCATTATTTCCTCCTTAAAGGGATTAGTAGGTTGCGCTTACCAGCTACTAGGGGTGAGCACAACCCCATTGTACTCGCTTGAGCCATCAGGAGCAATGACCGTGAGGTTTCGGTACGCCTCCTTGCTGTTCTCAATACGCTTCATGCCCGAGGAGATGTCGACAACTCCAAAGTGGAAATCAACCTGGCCAAGTGTAAGCTCTAGAAACGTAGGCAACCTTGCAGATAGGATGGCTCACCATAAACTTGTAGCCATGCACCACCCAGTCCATGTACTTGGTCTGGATGTTGTTCTTGAACTATTCCACACGCATAGTCAGTACTGTGCCCTTTCCCTCAGCGATAGAGCACTCACCTCGCGGGCATGCTCCTGAATCCACTGCATATACTTCTCCTTGGCCTCTCGGACCTGCGCAGTAGTGGCTCCAGGGGGCGGCTGACTCCTCTCCATAGCCTGCGCCTGCGCCTGGGCATACGCAGCCACCTCCCTCGCCCAGATAGCCTGCTTCTGCACATACGTATCAACCTTTGACTTGCCATTGCCACCAGGGGTGTCGTCTGGGGATGTAAGATACGCCATGGACATCTTGTAGCGGTCGCGAATGGTCTTGAGGCGCTCGTCGGTGACTTCGGAGCTCTCATTGCCGATTACGCCAGAGACGGAGGCCTCCACAGGCACCAGCAGATCCAATGCGGCGAGGTAACTGCGGGCAACACTCTTTCCAGTTTTGCCGGCCTATATTGTCTCCCATTGTCAGTGATCACATTCCGAAAGTCAATACGCAAGGACGTGTGGACTGACAGTATACTTGGACAAGGGGATCATTCCATCAACGAGCCTAGCCTCCTTGACTTGAATGTCCAACGGTGGCTTGATGAGCTTGGAAGAATTGTAGTAATAATCCCTGACCATTGAGTCAGTGTGGTTCCAGATTGGGGCAGCTCCCCAGGAGATCGTATGGTGCGACTTACTTCCAGTCGATGATAGTTCCAGGCAGCGAGACCGTAAAGACTTGGTTGTTGGCCACGGGAATGGCACTGGCGATGGCACCGCGGACAGTCCATTGGGGGGTCAGCAGTGTTTTCAGCTCGGTTGCAGGACAGAACTCACCTCAGAGGCATGTTTCATCGACTTCAGCACCGCTTTAGCCTGTGTCTCTTGGTCCGCCATTGTGAAAGGTAATGAAGTTGATTGTGCGTTAGCTGCAAAAGCAAAGCTCAATAGTAGAAGGGCTGATATACGGAGATAAGGAAATGAGAAATGGCTGTTGCAGAGTTTGACTCTTCATCTCGTGAGGATATCGAAGACAATTTATAGTACTGCCTGGTCCTCAATATGAGCTAGACGCTCAGCCTGAACTCCACGGTCTACTAACGACGCTCTATCACATCACGAAACTGTGATCAGCTCAAATTTGATTGTGAAGGCTGGGCTGTTTGGTGTGGTGGCTGAGATATTACCAATAGTCGTTTTCTATCCTCGAGCTGATATTGGAAGCATGTCAGGATTCGTCATGATCAGCAACAATGTGCTTGACATCAACACAAGTCAAGATCATAGAACAAGTTGAGTTGGAATTTCCCGTTCTCTTCCGTGCCCGGATCATGTCTACCCGTGTCAAATGACAGTCTGAAGGCCGTGATAGCGGACTATTGGCAAGCCACGGTGATGAAGAAGACGGATCGCTTGCGAATACTAAGAGCTCTAGGCAACTCCATGTCTTACAATGCCTATCAGTATCCCAATTGAGGATATAGTTACGTTTATTTGATGTCAACGGAGGTTGCTCAGGCCGCCACCTTCGCGGGATAGTTCAGGCAATCTGCAAGGGACACGGCATCGCCGTGAAGAAGCAGGCTCACCACGAGGCACAATGCGAGTCACTGGTCAGGACAATTGAACTGAGCTGCAGTATGTAGTTTCCCTATATGTGAGCAGCACGTGGGAACGCCAACCCAATACCCTAACCTGAACACCTCATAAAGCATCGCGGGTATGTCCGATGGCAGCACTTATGGTCGTGGCAATGTTCATGCGCGGGAAGTTTCAGCTCGCTTCTCATTAGACTTTGATGTCCAAACAAGGGCAGGGATGGGGGCTAAGAGGAAAATTGTGGGGAGCTGTCCCTGGCATATTAGCCGCCGAAAACCACACTATCGGCACTCGTTTTGCAGTCACAATGCGGCTGTCTGAATCGCAAGCATTGATTGGGCCGGACTGGGCTGGTTCGTCCGGGGAAAGACGGCTGACGAACTCTTGCCCCGGACGTTCTTCTACAGCACCGGCCGTGCTTGTGAGGCATTTGAACATAGTTGGTCGCCACGAGACCTGTCAGAAAGCCACAGACCGTCGATCGTCCAGGTTATTCTCGAGCAGCTGAACGTTGAAAAACTCACTAGTTGAGTGGTGATGCGATTTCGTGCCGTTCGACTACCCTAGGTCTTTGGGTGGCTTCAATCATGTTTGTGTTGGTGTGGAAAGATTGGATATGTTCTCGCGATGGTGGCGAAGAATGGTAGACCAGAGCCAAGTGAGCTCATGCAACCTTGGAATCTTCACTCAGTGCAGCAGTTGAAATCAGTTTTATGAGATAGAGCAAATGATGGCTGTCCACCTGGAAACCAAAAGTATAAGAGTCGCTACCTTCACGCGTCAAAGAAGCTGAGCAACAATTCACTGATCTGAGATATCCAAACAATACTCGTCGACATCTGCCTCTAACCCCAAACCTATTATCATTCTTCATTCCACCATGTCCAACAAGTCAAAACTTCATCTTGTCAAGAAGCTTGGAGATGCTATCGCACAGCCGTTCGCTCAGAAACTGCTGGCCAACTACGAGGCAGTGGGTGTTGGCCTGCCATAATCTGGCTCTCAAGTTGCAGATGCTAACCCTTTGCGCGTTGCAGATGACCCGAGCTGGCAAACTGGTTTCTAAGCAGAAGATCCTTTACCTTGGTAACAAGGGGCCAGCCCTAAGCAGCGAAGATCTCCCCGACGTTCTCATCCGCAAGTTCAGTGAGGACCCCATGTTTCGACAGCAGATACTCAATGGATTTGAACTCGATAATGTTTTTCACTTTGCATTCAATCCATCGGGCCTGGTGGAGCTACCTCTGCAAGTAAGTGCTATTGGAATGCTCGCCGAGACTGTTGCCCGTGTGAATGCTTACCCTTTAACAGGCAGACTGTGTAAGTCATGCGCAACCGATAACACGGTAATCAAGTCTCATCATTACTAGATACTCCAAGAGGGCCAGACACTCGACGTTGAGGCCTTCGGCTGGGCTCTGAGGGACCCTGTTAACAAGAAGGTCTACATCTACTTCAAGGGAACCAACTTCGAAAGTACTGAAATCCTCGCCAGTACCGGTACTGCCAAGGTAGGCTTCAACAATGATGACACGATACTGGCCAATGATCTGGTCAAGGGCATGCCTGGCCTAGCCAAGGGTAGTAACGGTCGCTGGTTGTTGAGCAGCGTGAAATACAAGGGTGAAGATGGCAAGGAATGTGTGTTCATCAAATCTATGGCCGAGCAAATGCGTGAGTATGCTCAGAGAAAGGATCTCGAGGGTTACGAGGTCATTCTGGTTGGGCACAGCGTCGGCGCGACCGAGCTCGCCATCATGTTCGCCTATCTCAGCATTAACCAGCCCCATTTGTTATCCACCCTCGGCCTCTGCATTGGTTCGTACCGCTTCCTCTCGAAGGAAGCAGTCGACTGGTTGAATAATATTGCTAATGGCACATTGATCAACATCATCAACGGAAACGACTCCGTCCCTTTGGCTTCTACAATAGGGTGTAGTCTTGCAACGGCCTACTTGAGTCGGCCAGACATTACCGAGGAGGTGCTCCAGAAATTGTTGAAGGCTAATTCGTTCTGGGTGAGTCAAGCATGTTTTCTCAACTCACCATTCTACCTATATCCGAATCTTGACTAACTGAGTTTCCACTGTGGCAGCTGCCTGGTCAAACCTTTGGATTTCAGAGCATGGAGGGCGTCGGCTTGACCCCGTGGGCCAACCACAACATCGCCACTTATGGGCTGGCGTTCCGCCCTGAGAACTATGGCTTGATTCTACCGCTCGAGGATGGCCTGGAAGGCCTGTTTCGTTTCAAGTCCAAATATGGCGATCTTTTCCAGCCCATAGAGCCCCGGACCAAGGAAGACCAGGAGCTCATCGCCATGCTGAAGCAAGAAAGTGAGGGATACATTCATAACTAGTGGCCTCGACTGGTTTGTGCGTTGATGCCGGTTCTGTTGCCCCAATTTGTTATTTATGTGGAGGGGAAGTTGGGTTCTTCGATGCGCAGAGTTTCAGTTATATTTGTAGTGAGCTTGAATCAATGCAAACATCTATCTCGAACAATGCACACCAGGCAGCTATGGAGACAGCTGAACGACCTTGGAAACAGTTTAAATATCTCTTATTAATCAATAGCCTGATAAATGAAGTTCATTACCTACAGTGTCATGAGAGCGTCTGGACTTAGCCATACCATCTGCCACAACACTTAAGCCGATAGCTATTAAAGTGACCGATAATGCAGGCAGAGTTGACTTAAACCATGAGAGACAACAACCAACTATATCTCACGCCCAGGTACACTCCTAGATCTCCTCCACTCCATCCCTCTCCATCTCAGCAGCATCACGGCCGCCGCTCCGAATCCACCACTCCAAAGCCCCAGGGTAGTGAAATACCACCCCCGACCCGCCGCCGTGAGCAATGGCTGAAGCACCGCCACGCCGGCCGCCGCCATGGCACACCGCGTGAGGCTCGTTGCCGCAGCCGCCGTCCCAGGACGCTCGGGGAAGCCATCAACCACAAGTGCTCCGTAAGTGGTGTAAAATGCCGTGCCCCAGAACCCCTGGATGAACTGGAGAACAAGCAAGACCGCAGCCGGGGCATCTCGTTCCACTGCCCAGCCGTAACCTATAATTGTTGCCGTGGAGATGACCAGGAGATGCAGGCTGAAGCGTGTTCTGGCCAGCTCGACGGGAAAAGTCAGCAAGTCGTCGCCCGTGATACGGCTCCCGCCATCGTCGGTTCTACCTGTGGCACGTTTCACGGCGCGATAGTTGGCGTCCATCATCTTGCCTGTGCAGTAGCTGCCCACAATGATTCCCACGCCCCGTGGCAGATAGGTCAGCCCCAGTTGCAGGTCATTGTAGCCATATGCGTCCTTGTAGATATCCGGCACTGCTGCGACAAAGGAGTAGTCGACAGTGTAGAAAGATCCATGGATCCAGAGCGCCAGGAAAGTGTCTCTGTAGAAGATGATGCGCAGACATGCCAACAGATTGGCCATCTTCAGCATTGTAGAACTTGTGCCAGTTGTATCAGTTTTCTCAACCTTTCGAACCGAGGCCCCTCTGAACCGACGTCTCATCAACCCCAACCAACTGAGTTGCCACCACTTGAATCGAGAAGCATCACCCCCATTTCCAACCAACCCTCTTCCCGTCTCCGGCAACAGTAAGCCTACGCCGCAGAATAGAACGACGCCGACAATAACAAGAGCCCAGAAAACCCACACATAGCTCTTACTCGTATACGCGACCACGCCTCCAACAACGGGCCCAACGCACGCCCCCAGGTTCAGCGCCATGCTAATGGGCCCCAGCATTCGTCCTCTATCGCTCGACTCGCAGACATCCGCCACGATACCGAAACTGATGGCATACGCAGCACTCGCGCCCAAACTCTGTATAGCTCGAAGGACTAACAAGACGGCGTAATTGTTCTTGTTAACGGCAAGCCCAATATCTGCTACGACGTAGAGTCCCAGAGTCAACAGGAAGAAGGGTCGCCGGCCCAAGGAGTCGGACAACGGCCCGAAGAGAGCTGGCGAGAGGGCCTGGAAGATGATGTAGAGCGTCAGAGTGAGGTTGATGGCCTGTGCTGAAGCGTTGAACTGCTCGCGGAGGAGAGGCAGCAGAGGGAAGTAGATGGTTGCCGTTAGAGGAGATGTGATTGTTGCGATGCCGAGAAGCAACTGTAATCTTCTTAGCTGAGCTTTGGAGAATACAGTGTACGGCTCCGCGGGCTGGGCCGTTACTGGTAGCAAACCATCGCTGCCGATGGGCGCCGAACTCTCATCCGAGATGTCTACCACCGTCGGCTTTTCTTGACTTTTAGCCATGATTGTCGTTGTCAGGTGTTTGAAGTTCATGTGAATGATGCTACGCGCTTCCATGTCCATACCCCCCCTCGCACGACAACGAGATCCGTGCTCAACCACCTTCAGGCAGGCACGCACATTGGCACGTTATCCGGAACCTGTGGGGTCAGAAGTGCAGGGGTGGAATGACAGATGTCTTGTTAGTAATAATGTCAAGGTAAATCCATGCCCAAAGGCCGCTCTGTCACGGAAATGGCTGCTGCGATTTCTTGTGGGAGGTACCAATGAATCAGACCACATGTTGCCCGAATTTCGAAGTGAATATGTCATCAAGAGCATATTATTGCCTTCTAGTACTCGAATCAATGCTAATATCTATATTACGACGGTGCTATTAAATGTCCATGCCCTACACTAAAGATATCTCCTACCGATACGCATAACTCAGCCGTCGCTCGTCAAGATTACTCAATATCAGCACTACATGATCATCCTTGGGCCAAAACAGCGTCCCATCCTTAGCCATGTAACAGTTATCAAGACTGGTACTTCCTGCCCAATCTCGCGGAAGGAAGTAAAGTCGATCGAATGACTCTGCCGAGTCACTGTGGGATATCGGGTCCAGGAAGTAGCTACACAGCCAGAGGTCGTGATCCAGGAAGAGAAACTTGAATCCCGGTAGGACACCCAACGGTACTTTAATGTGAGAATAGATGTGAGGTGGTATATGCAGGTAGCCCAGGGTTGGGGGTGGTTCAATGCTGGCACCCTCCGAGTTTAGGCCGTCAACGGGAAATAAGTGCACTTGATGACTCTTCCTTCTACCTTGAGTTATAGTCTTGGTGTTTAACAGGACAAACTTGGCGTCCTGAGTCAAAATGACACTGGTAACTGAAGATTCCTGGCCAAAGCCGTCAAAGGACACTAGTTGAGTCGAAGATGCCCTCTCTGCGAGACCTTCTATGTCGATGGATGGCTGTGATTTGGGCCCGGGGTTCTGCAGCTCTTTGTAGCTGGAAGAGCCAACTCTCTCGAGCTTTTCCCAAGTATAAGTGATGACATCGGAAGCTCCAAACGCGAGTAGCAAATCCGGCTGCGTAGGATGGGGCAACCACTGACGAAGTATGGCGGCGTCGTCATTAGCCAAGGAGCACCGCACCGTACCATCGTTGACACTGCAAACGAAGCTCCTCTTTTTGGCTGATATAAGGAGCAGCGTGCTGTCCATATTAAAGATCAATTGCTCGATATTATCGCCATCCAGGTCAATCTGCGGTGGCGGGAAAGACGATATTTTGTCTTGGCCCTTGTCGTCTTGACGCAGTGTCTTGACCTGCATATCGCCCGCGAGGTCAGCAAGCGCAACGTACTTCCCATCCGCGTTCCACTGGATGTGAGAAACGTTGAGAAAGTTGTGAAACTGTGCAAAATCAACACCGTCAGCGGCTCCCCTCTGAAAGAGCACAACTGTCCCGTCTTCATACCCTATGCAATAAGAGGAACCATCCAGTTCCGCTGCCAGAGCTGTGACGGGCTCAAAGGGATTGACGCGTGACTCTGAATGTCTCGAGAGCGCTGCAAAGGACTGGTCTTCACTGTTGGTGTCGCTGACGTTCTCTTCGCTCTCGAGGAAGCGTGTCAGAGTGTTGGATTCCCAAGCATTGATCGACCCGCCACGCAGATCATAGAAGCGCCCGCTGTCAGGGCTAAACGTCAACCCGGTGACTAGATCCTCAGATGAAAGGTGATAGATGACAGTGAAGTAGGCAAAGTTCCAGATTCGGACTGAACCGTTGCTGCTGCTGGTCGCAAAGACTCTGCCGTTGGGACTTGCGGCGATCTCATCCGCAGTAACCCGAGCCTCGACGTTCTCATCCGTAAGAGGATGCCATTTGAAGATACACCCGTTCTTATAGATGCCGATGATGTGGTTTGTGACGGGGTTCCAGGTAAAGCGATCGACCGCAAACCAGTTCGACGTGGTCCGATTCTGGTCGCTATGAAAGTCCTTTGCCCTCTTGCATCTGTTGAGGCACCGTCCATCTGCGAGCCTCCAGACTGACAACGGTGCGCCTCTGTACGAAACGCCAACCAAGGAATTGTCTCCGCTAAACGAAAGGCACATTGGAGAGCTCACGATAGCGCCGTCAGTCCTCCCCGTCTCCTTGAGGAGCGCCGGGTTCAGTATTTGCCACCCTTCCTCCATCTTATCGCATTGTATATGTCTTACGATGTTGTCATCACCACCAACTAGTAGCCTTCGGTCATTATCGGCAAATGTTACCGCCATAGCCTTTGCGTTTGGAGGATTTGACGTGGATGCAAGCAGCTTTCCGCCGACGACGGACCAGGTCTTTGACGTCTTGAGTCCGTATGTAACAAGCTTCTGGCCATTGTCGTTGAGTGCCATGGCTGTCACAGGCTCACCATGGGAGATTTGACTGAGTTCTGTAAAGTTGGAAGAGTCCCAGACATGCACGACGCCCGTTGAAGCAAGCACTGCAAGATGGTTTCCAGCGCAGGCAATCTTTCGAGCCTGCGCATCGCCCGGAAGCACAAGCCGCCCAAGGTTATCGTTCCAAGAGACTTCCCTGGCGCCGAGTAGCTTGATCTTGGCTGAATGAGGATCGTAATACTGCCGATGTACAACTGACTTGGTCGGACAGAAAGCCGGGATCATATCATATATCACGCTGGGGTCCGTCACAAGCGTGGGGCCGAATTTTCCAACGAGCTTGACGAGGTCAACGGTCCACTCGTCGAGCAGCGCAAGATCCGATAATCGATGGAGCAGCGGATTTTTGGAGTCGTCTTGCTTTCTCGTCCGTTGGGCAAACGATGCCAGAGCCTTGGATGCCCGTACCAAAACTTCCAACCGACGCAGCAGCGCCAGCGTGTGAATCCAAGCCAGAACCGCAGGGCTCTGCAAGAACTTCACCAGGTGGTCCAGATATTCCGATGAGATGGAGTGACTCTGCGCCAGATGATACGGCCAGTTCACTGCCGCGTAAAAGACAAAAGGTTCGCTGGCTTGAAGCGCGTGCTGATTCTGTATGAGCCGCCATCGAAGATCTGCTTCCTCGAGCTGAGCCAACGTCCGCGCAAAGAGCCTCCCGTGAGTCTCTCGAACGTCTACGTAGAACTGACTCTCTAAGGTGCTTGTGAAATACTCACGCGCTGTATGGTGTAGTATGGTGACTTTGCCTTTGCTGTCGACATGTAAGAACTGCCCGCAAGAATCGTGAATGGTCCTTCTGAGGTCAAAGAGTCCCGAGAAGTCTGGTCGCAGTGCCTGCGAGAGCTCTTGGATGCTGAGGGACCTTTGAGCACATATTGTCCACTCGAGCAGGGTCCTGATGAGCGGCTTGTTGGACTTTCGCGTTGAGTCAAGAAGAGTTCGCTCCATTCGCTGGTACAGACTGATCATATCATCAGGAATCTCGTCGAGCACCTCTCGAATGCTGTCTTCAGTGTGACACCCCAGGATCTCTTCGAGCACCAGCTTTGTCCAGAGGAAGTTTCCCTCGGACCGCGTCATGATGGTTTGCGTCAACTGCTGCCTGAAGTGGTCGCTTCCGCCCAGATGTCTGATTTCACTCTCGACCAACAGCTCGATATCCCGTCTGCTGTGTTGGTGGCCCGAGCATTCCATTTTCGAGACCTGAACATCTGCATGTGAGAGCCGGTCAAATCCCACGAATAAAGCATTCGTATTCCGACTCAGAACTAAGATCTTCACTGGTATCGTTGCCCTCGACAAGCCCCTGAGACACTCCAAGAAGGACTTTGGCGAGTCCGACTCATCCAAAGCATCAAAAACCCAGTAGACGGGCTGGGAGCGTCCACTTCGGAACAACAATTTCTCAAATGTGTTTCGCCAGATCAGCGAGGCATCTGTCGACTCAAGCCCCAAACTTGCCGGCGACGAGCCGCTTAGCAGTTTCCTGTACTCTGGAAGATCCTTTGCAAGCTGTAGTGCTATGGCCTTCAAACTCGCGGCAACAGACCGCTTGCGTTGCTCAGAGTAGCTAAAAAGGAAATACTGGCAATCCAGGCCCAGGTCTTTGAGGCGACTGATGACAAAAGCTGCGAGCATAGACTTGCCACTGGCTGGAGGAGCAGTGTACCAAAGGATGTGCGATTCGATGGATGGCTTCATCCATTCTTGAACTTGAGGCTCCTGGAAAAACCACTCACAAGTATCCGGAATCCATTCTCGGCGAAGTTTGCTGTATTCTTCGTCGGAAGTGTGGCAATTGCGGAAGAGGTCATGTATATCCGTGTTGTTTTCGGGCTCGCTTACGTCTGCCTCTCGAATGGCCTTGGAGCGGAACAGCGTGACCAGAGACTTGAGAGCGTTCCTGACGCTGAGATAATTGGAGTCAATTGGACTTGAGTACTTGCAGACGTCGTGATGGTCGGCCTGTAATGGCCTCGATATTTCCGCCGGATACCCTAACACGGAAGAGTCCTTCTCCAAGACCATCAGTTTCTTAGGACCAATGGAAGTCGCCAGGGTTTCGTAAAAGGACCAGATGGATAATCTCGGCGCCAAATGACGAAACTGCTCGTTCAGTTCTTCGATGGCGGTAGAGTTCTTGTTAAGGTCGGCGATGAAATGCTTCGAAGACTGAAATGAGGCCGCCAGCACCCGGTTCAAGGTCTCGGCCAGGTTGGTGCCACGATGGGGTGTTGACAAGAAGATGATGGCCGATACAGAACTGATGATGTCCTTGTAGTTTTCGTCATAGAGGCCAAGTAGATACGCCTTCTTAACGACCAAGCCGCCCATGCTATGGACGACAAAGATGATGGGTTTCTGCCCGATAGCAATATCCGCTCCAGACGCGTCTTTGGAGAAGCGCATCTCGTATAGAAGCTCCTTGGCAAAATCCGTAATGCCGGAGATGCCCGCTCCGCCGCGCCAGCTTGCTTCATAGCCAAATGTCAAGATACGCGCCTTGCCGACGTCCGGCTCGAAGGGCAGCCATATCTCGGGCCAGAAGAGCGCCGGATCATGGTTCTTGGTCCAGGTCTTCTGGCTGTGGCCGCCAAGGCCATGCACAAAGACGATGTCTAGGGAAGCGAACTCGGGCTGGTGGAGCACTCGAAGCCCCAGGCCTGCCGGAGCCGGTGCCGGCGACCGACTGCGCAGATGAGAGCTGGAGCCCTCCGGCTTGGCGGATGTAACTGACTCGGCGATAGATCTACCGTCGACGGTGAGGGTCGGTATCGAGGCGTCGGATGTCTTTCTTTCAGCTCCACCTTTCGGCTGCGCCTTGTTCTTGCGGAAGCGCTTGAACTACATGGAGGAGTCTGTCAGCCGCCATCATCGTGTAAGAGCGTTCGAGAGATCGGGTCGAAACTCACCATCGCGACCGCGTCGCGACAGAGGCTTGAGGAGTTTGGTGTGGAAGTTATTTGCTCAGCACGACTTGCGTGATTACTTGACTCCTCCCGGTCTCGTCACTGTGGACGAAGTACTGCTGAAGTATGGAAATGCCCGGTCCAAACATTCGCAGAACGCCTTCCCCATGCTTTGTACAACCTGGGGAGCCCATCTAAACGATAGAGAATATTACTACTATCTCGCAACAATATGTAGTAAGATAGGCAGCCGTGGCAAGGTAGAGTGACGAAAACAAAGATCCAATGATTCCGCCCGAGGCCAGACGCCTTTCTTCAGCTCGACGCGGCCCGGCCCCCCCTCCCCGCGTCTTCAACCGCCAACTCGCAGCTCGTAAATCCTCCTGGTCGGCGCAACATCGAGTCTGGTTCGCTGTTATGTCTGTTGGTTGAGAACAACCGGGGAAGCTGACCAGATTTGGATTCTCGTCATCCCATACAGGCATCTGGGCCGTGTGGGGTCGTCATGCTGGAGAATCAACTGGCTGGAATTCGGGGCGGTTTCTCCAGCTCCTCCCACACTTGCAGGGGCCTGAGCATCCACAAAGTCGAGGAGGATCACGCCTGAGTTTCAGAAGAGCCTCACTGTAGATTGTATCCCACACAATGTCCGTAAGAGGCATCGCAGCAGCGCTTAGAGTTCTCGTGGTGATACGAATGAAACCCTACGCGATGAGTTCTCCAGGCGACTCCAGAGGGATATAACCCTAGGTTGCACTCTCATCTAGATCTCCGCAATCTGAAAGCTCAACCCTGTTTCTGGATAGCTGTAACCCTGGCTGTCTTGCTTATGGTATAGGATTGTTTGCTCAAATAGTTATGGATCGCGGTCTCCCATCCCTCATTGAGAGCTCCCGAGCGGTTTCTCCACCATACGAAGGAGATTTCCGGATTGACGACAGTGTCCTTGCCAAATTTCCAGAAGGAACAACAATCATTTCTGCAGACAGCTTCGGCACGTCCGCATGGACTGTGACGGCTCGAGTGCATCTGAAGCTTCCCGATGACTCCGAGGAGAAATACTTCCTAAAGTCCGCTCCGGGGGACCATGGCCGAATTCTCATGGAAGGCGAGTTCAATGCAATGTCCGAGATTTACAAATGGGCTCCCGATCTGGCTCCTAAGCCACACAGTTGGGGCAAATATGCTCTGGAGAACCCCGAAGCCTATTTCTTCTTGTCCCAATACATCGACATGATCAATGGCATGCCGAACCCACGCCAGCTATGCTCTAAGCTGGCTCGTCTTCACCGCAAGAGTCAATCTCCAACAGGCCAATTCGGCTTTCACATCACCACTTGCCAGGGTCGCATCCCACAGTCACTGGCATGGGAGTCGAACTGGACTGTCTTCTTCACAAGACTACTCCAGCACGTCATTGATATGGACTTCGAATTCAATGGATACTGGGAAGAGCTGGATAAAGTAGAGAAGCAGTTCATCGCACATGTTATCCCCCGACTCCTAGACGCTCTGGTAAAGGATGGCAGAACGATCAAGCCCTGTCTCATCCATGGAGATCTTTGGGAAGGCAACAGCGGCACTTCCTTCGAGGACGATAAAGTCTACATCTTTGACGCGGCCTCATTTTATGCCCACCATGAAATGGAAGTCGGGGATTGGCGCTGCTACTATAACAAGATCAGCAACAGGATATACACCAGGACGTACCTTCGATTCCACGGCCCGAGCGAACCAAAGGACGAGTGGGAAGACCGGAACCGGCTGTACAGCATTTATTTCAATACAATCTATTCAGTCAATCATCTGAGCTCGGGCACAGCCGTGCGTCAATTGTGAGTATTTTATAGACCCTCTTTCGCACAATCTTCATCTCGAGGCTAAACAGAGTACAGGGCTTATGAGGACATGTACTACCTGATTGACAAATATGCCCCCTTCCCTGAGGGCGAGGGGCCGCCGAAGCTGGATAAGTCCGAAATGGCCTCACTCTCTGCTGAGAGGGATCATACTGCCGATTGAGTTCTCCGGAGGCTACATACTCCCACAACAACGACTACGTGTTTATTGCGAGAATCTGTCTGGTGCAAATCTGGTTACAACTGCGGTAGCCTTGTTACGAAGCTAGGACTGGAGTTGTTGATTTTAATAACATGGAGTTGTCTCTTATGTTCACACAATGTATCTTAACAATTGTAAACAGGCCTGCTTACTACGTGCTACTTTCTCATGGCTACTGTTTCAATAACAGTCAATACCCAAATGAGCAATGTTTTCTCATAGGTCGTCACTTGATATGGAAGCTTTAGGTGGTCACAGTGAAACCCTTTTGTTCTCTCGATGGTTCAGTTGTTTTCTTCTTTCAACTTGAGGAATATGTCTCCATGACAAAGGAGGCTGTGCACATGTCTGCCTCCATAGTCTTTCGATCCTATAATTCGACCACAAAGAAAGTTATAGGCCATTGAAAGACAGTATTTTGTTGTCCAGGCTCTATGTAGTTATGTCAACCCAGCGCAATCGGGGTGCTCAAGGGTTTACAATGTTCCTCCGATCGCATGACAGCACAGCATCAACAGCTGGGCTGACAGCGCCCTGTAATTTATAGTCCGGAGGCTCTCAGCGAGGCATCAACAGCGGTCTTTTCCGCAAGAAAATATCGACCAATAACATTTGATATGCAGGCCGCACACCTATAGCGATCTATCACAATGCCACGATGCAGTCCTCTGAGGCTGTGCATATTTCTGCCTCGGTGCGGGCCTCGAAAGTCAGGTCATGAATGTATCGCACACAGGTAACTGCAAACCAGTTTTAAAGAAGACCATATCCCAATTCACGGCAATTGATAAATGCCAATTGCCAAGCAGTAGGCAATTGAGACTTACACCACAATGACTTTGCAGAGTCCGAGCGTCAAATCGCTTTACCAACAATTGCCCTTGAAGCAAGTCGAGATCCGTATTCTAAGACTAGAACCCAGTACACCATCATCACCAGAAATTCGAGCTTCCCTCGTCAAACGCAGCCTGCTCACTTTGAGAAAAGGCGGCCCCTCCTTCGAGGCCTTGTCTTACACCTGGGGCCTGGCTTCAGTTACAAAGGACATCGTCATCAACGGCACATCATTCCCAGTCACCGCCAACCTGTACGCATTCCTGCAACAATACCAGGAGCCCGACAAGACTGCCGACCTATGGATAGACGCAATATGCATCAACCAGGCCGACCTACTCGAGAAAAACCACCAAATTCCCATGATGAACATGATCTACGCATCAGCTAAAAGGCTCGTCATCTGGCTCGGGGAAGCTTCATCCGACAGTGAGCTGGCAATTAAATGGATTGAAGATCTAGGCATGGGTTCTCCATACGACAAGATGCCCAACATCCCCAACAACGCTTGGCAGGCCATGCAAAGCTTTCTGGAACGCCCATGGTGGAAGCGCATCTGGATCGTTCCGGAACTTGCAACGGGTGCCATGGGGATCAAGCTGGAAACAGCCTCGGTTCTCTGCGGCCATGCACGAATTTCATGGATCAACCTTGTAATCGCCGCCGCTCGCATGAAGGCCCATGAAGATGACAAAAGGCAGGCGTTTCCAACCATTACCGAGATTCTGGAGCTCGACAGCCTGCGGGAAAGTGCTGGGCATTACTTTTTGAACCAACCCGAGCCCCAGGCTCTGTTTGATCTGATCTGCCGGTACAGGCATTTCCTGGCGACAAACAGGCGAGACAAAATCTATGCGATCTGGAACATGTTTGCAAGATTGCCATCAAGACGACTCGAGACGAGATATGACCAGTCTATGGAAGAAGTGTACGTTAATCGCTGCTGAAATACTCTCCGGCGGGACCGGACTGGAGCTCCTTCGCCACTGCGGCAACGGTGATCCAGATATACCCTCCTGGGCCCCGGACTGGTCCGTTCCCCTTGGCTCTCTGCCCCTGCCTCTTCGCAGTATTCAGCGGTACTTTGACGTCCCCTGGTGGGTAGAGCCGGAATACAAAGACCCGAAAGCCCTCATCGGTCCCGACGGAACCAGAAAGGAGTCGAAAGTCGGATACTTCGTACCTCCTATAGTCAACAGCGCAGAGGCCGAAAAGCAACGAGAACAGCGAATCAAACGCCTCGAATGGACCGCCAAAGGCTCTGCGGTTGTGAAAAGCCTGGATGACATTCCAGCGCACTTCACAATCCATGGCTGCCCAGCTGCCACCAAAGAACAAATTAAGGAGCTGCTCCCTCGCGATGATGTCGTATTCGTCATTGCTGATGAAAGTCGTCATTTGCCCGAGGACCCCGATGCGGTCCAGCAAGGCGAGCTCATCACTGAGCGTAAAATGAAGCGGTGGCTCTTACAAGAGCTCAGACATTCCGCCGCTGAGCCACCGTATAAAGCCGCCTCTTCGGTGAGCGCTACCTTCAAGGTCAACAAGAGCGGAAAGTCTCTGCAAGTGAAGGGCATTCTCTGGGACGAAGTTGAAGTGTGTCACGATGGCTTCGTGGAAGACGTGGACAGAGACTTTGCTGATGCAACTCGCTTCATGGTGGGAGTTGGTTGTTGCAAACATCTCGCCATGACCAACCAGAGCGCAGCAAGCAGGTACCCCCAAGTCGCCGATCTACTCGAAGCCTTCTGGTCAGCATTATTCGTAGGACAACCTCTCAATAGCAAGGGAACAGACGGAGCAGAGCACGCGCCTCGTTGCCAAGATTGGCTCCCTGAAATCCCAGACTCATGGACTCCAGGCAAACCTCCAGTGACAGCGACGACTACCGGCTTGGTCGACATTGCGGAGATGGATGAGGCTCTCAGTTGTTCCATGTCTGCCGCTCATGGAGAGGGAGAAGGCTCTCAACAATTTACACACCAGCTCGAGCCCAATCTTAAAGAGCGTGTCTTTCCACTTCATGACGATGAGCATGTCGCTCTGCTATATCAGCTTGCTTCATCCTGGAGTCAGCAGCCATACGACCTGTATCACCGACCATTCGACCTACTAAACGTGGTCCCGGATCCCTATTGGGAAACCAGACGCCAGCAAGACGATCTCGCCAAGCAACAGGCAAAACAGCGCAAATCGAGATATATACAATCAAGCCTCGCCGCTGCCAAAGGCTCCATTGACCTAGGACTTTGGAAGCAGAAGTTTGACAAGGTGGATGAAGCCCTTAGACAGCAACCAAGTCTCGTGCCACAAGACACCCTTCCCGCCGGCATCGAAAAGTACGCTCTAGGACGACGGTTCTTCATCACCAAGAAGGGATACTTTGGCCTCGGCCCGCAGAAAGCAAGAGCTGGAGATAGAATCGCCGTCTTGTTTGGTTCCGGTGTGTCGTTTGTTCTTCGGAGGTGTCATACTGCGGAGGGGAAGCGAGTTTGGAGGATTGTGGGAGAGAGTTACGTGCACGGCATCATGCAGGGAGAGGTCATTCAGAAGTGGGAGTTCGGCTCAGCTGAGGCACAGATGCTTCATTTGGTGTAATTGGCTCGATCTATCCATCAATCATGTACACTTTCTCAAGGACTTCTAAAGATAACATCTTCGGTCATGGTTTCATTGATAAGAACTCGGGCTACGTTGACTATATGCTCTGTTATAGGTTTCAAAGGCTACCAGACGGCGCCACTGCACTTTCAATCCAAATCAAGGCTCTCTGCTTTCCATGAGCGTCGTATAGCTCCAGGTGGATAAAGGCGTATATCCCGCAAAGAAGGCTCACGCCCTGTATTTCGCTGTTGGTAATCCCTTTGCGTCGGCTCCTTTGTCAGAGCAACCCACTTCCAGTCGTCCGCGTGTCTTCCTCGTCCGATCTGATGATAGGAAACTATCGTCACGGCCCAGCCGTCGACCAATGGTCCGATGGTTGTCTAAGCTCCAAGTCAGCTGATTGTTCAAGTCTCCCTGCATGGGACAAAATGGACACTTGCTTTGCCGGGAGCAGTTTCGGACCGGTAAAGCTCCCCAACTTCCGCCCTCTCAATAGTCGTGGTGTAGTCAGTCAAGCACACATCGCAAGATCCAGGCAGATCTCTGCAAGCATTGAAAAGAAAGCATGACCCGTCATTCCTCTTCATACCTCCCCACTCAGATTTCCCCAAAGCTGCTGCCTTGTCCGGTGCCGTTCTGTGAGATGCCCTAGTATAGCCAGCTGGGTCCATTGCTATATGATAGCAGATGCTATAGCGTCCGTTATAGATAGCTTCACGCAATACTGTGGCTCTTCCCGCAATCGTGTGCGTGATGCTGAGGAAGAGTTCATCGCCAATGATTCTCGCGCAAGAGCTCTGTCGCCATAATGGTCCTACACTCGAACTGCGCACAAGGCAAGAACGGGCAAGACTTTCCAGCGATAGCCCTGCTGTAGGACCATACAAATGGCGGTTCGTCACAAGACGGACATGAACGTGGTGTCTGGATGTTGCATCACGTCGTCAGTCTTATAAACGACTCACACGGATGCGTCACGCAAGAGATGATACACACAGTCGATACCGCGACCTTCCGGGGTTGGGGTTAAAATGCTGCAGAGCACGATAATTGAAGCATTTCGATGTGATCTTTGGATCCTGCAGATGTTTCGTGACAGTCGGGTTCCAATCCTGCGAGAACCGATGGAGCTGGCAACAGGCTGGGCAAAAGTAGAATCGGTCTCCCACATCCCTCTCCAGTAAAGGTAATAACTCAGGCCGACACTCCTCTACAAGTTCCTCTGTGTCGAAGAATGAGGAGAGAGCTTTGCAGGTTAGAGAGAGCGCTACGAGGGATTCGGGGGACGAAGACAACTGAGACGCGATTAACAGGAGAATCTCGTGAGGCAGTTTTGCCAGTGGGCCGGTGAGAGATGGCTCTCCGACAGAGGAAAACAGTTGCCCCATTGTATATGGTTGATTTGATGCTGCGGATTCATGTATGGCATGTGGAAGCTTGTGAAGCGGGGTGTGGAAGAGGGGACGTTGTCGTATGACGGGCATCTGTAGACGCACATGCTTAGCCGAAAGTGGAACATACGATGCAACAGTGAGACATCACAACGGCTATGATCCAGAGTCGAAATAGTCTTGAACTTGTACTTTTACCGAAGGCTTTGTAGACGCAGATGAAAGCCGATTCAACCGACATTACCAAACTCTATAGACCTCCCCAGTCATACAAACGAGATGAAGCATCCAAATCAAGCTTATTCCCCCAGTATTCCACGCCTTCATAGTTATACTGATCCGGCATGCATTCCGCAATACCAAAGTACCGTCGCAAAGCTTCCTTTTTCTGCGCCTTTCCAGAGGCCGTATACGGCACCTGTTCCCCCTCTTGGAGTACCCGTAGGACCGTCGGCAGCTTATACGACACCACTCCAGCACGAGCAAGATTCTCACGAATAGTTCGAAGGTCAACCTCGCATCGTTTTTCATCGCCATCATGCTTGCATAGCCGAACAAGCGCAGCTACCAATCCGCCGGCCTCACGCTCTCGCACAGGGAGAACATGAGCTTCGCTTATATATGGAAGATCCGTCAGACGCTGCTCGAGCTCAAGCACAGAAATTGTGTACTCGTGAAACCGAATCCCTATGAAGTTATGATTAGTCTGCCATATCTAGTTCATCTCATCGGAAGGTTCAACATACAGTCGCACGAGTTCCGGCCGTCAAAGTAATACTCTTCACCGACTCGGTGAGCGCGGTCTCCCGTTTTGTAGAAGCCGTCTTCATCAAAGCAAGCGCGTGTTGCTTCATCATCGTCAAAATATCTACACAGAAGACACTGCGTCAGAAGAATTCTGCTTATAACAATGAAGCACTCTATACGTTGACTTACCCGATAAACATATTGGGTGTTTTGACCAGCACTTCTCCTTGATCTCCCTCAGAAAGCTTCACTGTGACGCCCGGAAAAGGCCTTCCAACGTATCCCTACACAAGAAGTTAGCACCTAAAAGAGAATAATACATCAATGACACTCACTTCGGAAATGGCTGAGCCCTCTGGAGTGGCCATGACTCCCCCGCCCATCTCCGTTATGCCGTACCCATTCCGAACATGCGTCCCAGTCAAGTCATTAAACCGCTGCGCGAGACAAGGGTTGAGCTGAGAACCGCTTGTGAACACAGACTTGAGACTTTTGCTTCCGTTGATAAAGGTCTCGCGCTCTTCACCAGAAAGGCAGTGGATCTCATCGTCGTAATACTCTACCAGTCTCCTCAAAAGCGTCGGCGACACGCTCATGTCAGTAATTTTGCCGTTTTGCAAGATCTCCCAGAAGTCTTTAGGCTCGGATCCGTGCTTCATCATGTGCAAGTTTTCGCCAACGAGCACGCTGTCGATGAGACCTGTGCCGCCGACCCAATGAACGGGACATGATGCTAGATAGACAATCTCCTGGACTGGAGGAGCATCGGTAAAGTGAAACATTTTCCGGGGAAGAAGAACGCCTTTCGGCAGCCCAGTCGTTCCAGAGGTGAATAGAACAAGGCACCCATCCGTTGGTGAAAAGGCCAAGCCGTCGTCAAGTTCCCAGTCAACAGGGCTGGGGTTCCGCTCAATTGGTGCTCTTGACAGCTGTATTAGGCTCAACACTTGCTCAGGCTGGGTGTGTATATATTCGCGGAATTCTGTCGCTCTGCCAAACAGGCTTGCTTCTGTGAGAAGGTATGTTACTCTTGTTTTCTTCAAGAAGTAACTTGCTTCTTCAGCATTCACATCGGTAGCTATAGTCCATCCGTCAGTATCTTCCGATAGTTCATGTAACATTTAGCTTACATAGAGGTACGCAAATGCCCCCCAGAGCAGCAATGGCAAAGAAGCTCACGATGAAGCAGTATCCACTGTAGGCAAGAAACCCGATGGACCTGGCATCCTTCTTGAGTGATCCGTCCGCGTTGAAAGAAGACGCAGGAAGCTGCTCTCTCAGTATCTGGCGCAGGTGTATCACATCGCGGATCAAGTCATTGTAACTGGCATCAACGCCATAGTCGTCATGGAACAACAGGTCAGGCTTCTCCAGGGTCATTTGGCGGAGTCTGGTGAAGATTGCATCATTCGGAAACTTTTCTTTTGCAACGGGGACGTCTTTGGTCAGCGTCGGCTCCGTGACCGGGCTGCGATAGAAGGCTGCATAGAGGCTTGATACAGCGATGGGCTTGAGCCTGCCGAAGGAGTAGGCGAGAGACAGCATATTCGCGTTTATAAAGGTGGACTAAAGCAAATGGCGTAACGTATCACGGATATTGTGAGAACCAAAGTGTCGGAAACACTACATCTTAAATACTCTAAAGGCCGCCGGTGATAGTGCAGGTTGGAGCCGATCAAAGACAATGACAAAATGACTTGCTGCGAGCGAGCTGAAGCCCTTGTATACACAAACAACTCCGAATCCAATCATCTCGGGCATCCCCGTAATAAGAATATAAATGACAAATGTAAAACCCTGTCCGTCCGCCAATTATGCTACCGAGAACCGAGAAGTATAGCACGATGGCTACCGTCCCATGCCGGAGCTATATCACTTAGCGATCTGCGTGTCTCAGGAAAAGCTTTCTTAGGTCCAAGGTTCCTATGATCGGGGAGAAGTGGCTGGCTGGCGTGGAAATTAGTCTCGATACTGCGGCTGAGAGATCCCTGTAGCGGTGTTTTCACGTTTGTACGGCTGAGATGATATATATGATTTCAATGTCTCACTAACACATGCCGCCTACGTAGGTATTCCACCTTACATGTAAGCTTTTTATAGATCCAAGCATCCGGTTGGGGACTTTCACCACAGGCCACAGTATGGTTACCCTATCCAAAAAGATGGAGTTGCCGGCTAACAGAATGCAGAGTCTACGTGCAGGCTGATGGTCGACTCGCGCACAATAAGCCATACTCTGACTTGTAGCTATGGTATCTCTGGGCAGCATTCAGTTTTAGAAAGCATATGTGGATTTCGTTCGTGCGTTGCATGTTGTGTGGCAGTTTTTCCGCCTCAAGTCGAGGAAGAAGAACTTGAACCTACATATGTCCAGGCATGATGCGTATGACGCTTCTATACTGCGTATATAGGAATTTGCTTTCAGTTTTAAGACGTTTTATAGCCGTTACGATCTCTGTGTATATAATCTTTGTGCCATGCGATGGGGTGAATTGACCGCAATGCTTATGCTGAGGATTAGATGGTGGAAGATGATCCTTGCTTACAGCATCTCTCCAGGAAGGACTTTTCAATTAGCAAAGGGCCGGTGAATAGCTGGGTCTTCTTGTTGTACTTTTCGAAAGAAGAATTTGGATATACCTGAGTCTAACTGGAACACCTCCCAGGTTTGAACAATATTACGGAAAGTTGCTCCTCATCAAATTCCAGATACCCTCAAATTGGAGCAGAATCCGCAACCTCCTCCCAAGGTAAACTCGTCTAATTCCTTTTAAAGTCCAAAGGGCAATAGAAACCACAAATCTCAGCATTCTCTGAGGGTAGAGCATATCACCGGATAGCAGATGGAGAGTACCTCCAAAGAACTATGAAGGAGCCCGAGGTCCATAGCATCAGCTGAATCCAGCATTAAACCTCCCAAACATCTCGGATCAGTCACCATTGATCCCGATAATTGTCATTCTTGATAGAAGTACCATCAGTAAAGGCCATAATCCACGGATTCCCCGTGACGCGTCTGCACTGTCAATGCGGGCAGCTGGCAAATGGCCGACCAGTGAATCCAGCCGCCAGCACACCAAAGCCAACTTCCTCCTTCTCCTATTGCCACTGCCAATTCTTTCTCTTGTCAACTTCATCGTACTTTTCTCTAACCGCGAAAATGCAGAATTTTCGGTAAGTATGCCTAGACCCCTATCCCTGTGATCCCTTTCCTCGAGTCTTGCATTCTCTTCTTCGTCTTTCTCCTCTCTTCTCTCCGTGTTCTGGATGCGCTGCAGCCAGGATCACTTTATCCCAAAGCCCAAAGGGACCAATATTACTCCACGACCATGGGAATGCACGGCAACCTGCAGTCCACTACTCACAAAGACTTCGTTGGCTAACTAGACTTCTTCTACGTAGTGGCAATTTTGTTCGTTCGATCCCTCCCCCGAGCCGACATCTTACGCAGTTCCAGCCGCTGACTCTCCAAATCTCCAGTTCCCCGATCCTCAGCCTGAGGATACGGTTACTATCCTTCGTACAGACTACGAGCATCTCGTTGTCACCGCCCAGAATCACTGTACGCAGCCTCGTCTCTTTCTCTACCTCGTCATACTGAATCAGTTTCACAGCCAATCTCTGCCGCTGCCTTCTCAATGCCGACATCGAGGACCCCAGAGTCATCCAGGTCAGAAATCCCAACACCACCCCAAGAACCCTCTCCCAGCCGGCTCTAATCCTACCTCCAGGCTCTCAATGACTGCCTCCACTCGCCAGCAGTCCAATACCCAACCGCCGTCCCAGCTCAGCACGTCTACAACGCATCCGCCCCAACCTTCGAGCCCGCCTCCCGCACCGCCACGCCCCACGACTTCGACTCCAAGTCCTTCACCACGTCGTCCAGCCCGTACATCGACTACGCCCGCCACGGCCTCTACCCCTTCCCGCCCCCGCGATCGCTTCTAGGCAGTCAGCATAGGAGCGACGTCGCGAGCAACGCCAGCTACGACTCCTTCGAGAACTCGAGCGCCGACGGAGACGATGATGGCGAAGACACCAATGAGGCCCTGGATCAAGCCATCACCAGCCTCACCCTGTCTCAGGAGGAGCCGGTCTTTCGCTCCGTCCAGCTACTCAACGTTCCCGAGCACGCAACCTACGCTGATCTCGTTGCCGTGGTGCGAGGCGGCATCCTGTTCGACCTCTCCATCACTCGGCGTGCGGGAACCGCAACCATCACCTTTGCAGAGGTATCTTCGGCCGCAGCCTACTACGCCCACGTGCGGGACAATGACCTCTACATCAAAAGCAAGAGAGTAAGCAAAGAAACCCCATGGACACCCTATCAAAAGTTTCTTCTAACCAGCATGAACGGCAGGTCGAGATCCGCTGGTCGGACCGCTTCCAGACCCTGCACGAGCACTTCACCAAGCGCATCGCAAACGGCGCAACCCGCAACCTCGTCATGCGCAAGTGCAACGCCAGCCACACAGAGGCCTCGATCCGCAAGGACCTCGAGCACATCCACAACCTCAGGGTCGTCGGCATAAATTTCGGCGACGGCAATTGCCACATTAGTACCAACTCGGTGCCGAGCGCTATGTATGCCCGCACCTGCATGATGAGTCGGCTGTGAGTTGTCCCTCCCTCTTGACCTTCCAATTCACTTAGCACCTCAGAACACTGATACCAATTACCTTCTTTCGATGATACAGCAAGTACAAGGGCTGCCGCATCGAGTGGGACATTGATGAGTGCGCTCAGCCCCTGAGCCAGATGCCCGTCATGTCTCGTCGGCGTGCCCCTTTCCCCGTCACCCCCGTGGCCCGCCCCGTCCGCAATACGAGCAACCGCTTCCAGCTTCTCGCTTCTGAAGCCACTTCCGATGAATGAGTGGCCTTTGTTTTCCCTCTTTTCCTTTGGTCACTTTTCGAGTTCCCTCGTGAACGGTTCGTTGGCCCGATGCTGCTTTGTTACTCCTTGCAAGACGATGACCAGCAACGATTTGAGAAAAGCAATGGTTTCCTTTCGTTTTAGGAGAGGCATGTCCCTTGAAGGCTCCCTCTTTGCTAATAGACATAGAGTATTAGTCCTGGACTTGGGGGATAATTGATTGTCATTTTGGTCTCTGATTTGCTTTCCTGGCCGTCAAGACGCCCAAGATGGACAGTTGACCTCCCCAATGCTTTCCAAGTTTACTAATCAACCGACCGCCTCTCTAGAAACGCGCTGAAGCCATTTCCATGCTGATACTATGAGAAACTCACAGCATCAGTAACCATATCTTCGCCGCTCTGGTCTCTTAAGTCTGCCTTATATGCGGATAGAGAGCCCATATTCACCCCTAAGTGGCCACAATTTCTCATACAAAGATTCCAACAGGAAGGCTAACAGAAACAGACATATGAAATGCTGACCCAATTTCGCCGTGCTTTCAATGCCATGCATCACCCAAAAGCTTTCCCCTCCCCAAATCACTAAAGAATGTGCCTAACTCACAACGATCCCTCAGGTTAGATTCCTCTTGCGTCCCCTTTAAAGGGACCATGAAACGGTTCTTTCATCCTTCTGTTACTCATCTTGATAAGGATCGGACCCAAATTAATTTGCGGGATTGGTATTCTTTGTAATGTTCTGCAAATAACCCAACAAAAAGCTTTGATCTGCCTGCGATATAGGCGTCACATTGCTGTTGCGAGATGGCGCCGCGTTGCGCTGCAGCCCTGCTTGCCCGTCGACACCTCCCGGAGCCATTGCTGCAGCGCGGGGCATGGAGAAGCCAGCTGCTGCGGATGTGGCGGCGTTGCTCGCCGCCGGTTTGCCGGGTGTCCCAAAGAGGGAGAGAAGCTGTCTCTTCTGTTCCTGGGACACTTCGGGCCTGTAGTTGTAGTTGCTTGCCGCGGAGGGGCCAGCTGACGAGGCCATAGGAATCGGCAGGGTGGACGGTGACGGCTGGACAACCTGTCCAGGGCGAGGCTGTCCTGGGTTTTCGTAAAGACCTGCGTAAGGAGCGAGATTGCCCCTGGGCGGCTCCGGGGGATTGACTTGTTGGACCTGTTGGATGGTCTGGTCTCTCTGGAGGATCTGAGTCGGCTGGTTTGGGCCGGACTTGACGGTCGAGCTGGTGGTGTGAGTCTGCTGCGACGTGATGGCATATCCAGGATAGGCGGGTTGTTGAGGCGCTGGGCCGCCGGTCTGTTCCCCGTACCTGGCTTGCAGGGGGTTCCATCCGGCAGGTTGGTTTGAAAAGTTGGGGAGCTGCGGGTGTGTGTTTGGCACGGTTTGGTACGCAGGTGGAACAAATTCCGGGAGCTGCTGGTGGGCGTTTGGCACGGCCTGGGGCGCGTTTGGGGGCACAGCGTTGACGTTGGGTTGTGGGTTTCGAAACTGTCCTGCTACCGCCGGCATCAGAGCTGAGAGCACATCTGGTATCTGAGAGGGACCGGGAGGCACATGCTGGGACGGGGGCATAGGCTGAGATGGGGGCGCGTGCTGAGACGTGGTGCTTGACGACTGGAGAATGGAGAGCAGCGCGCTGGCCTTATCCGTGGGAGCAGCTGCAGCAGGGACTGGCTCAGAACGCATCGCCGGCGGCTGAACCGATGGCTGAAGGTTCAACAGGCGCTGTAATTCCCGCGTGGCTCCATCGAGAGACTCGAGGGCCGGCGCGGCAGCAGGCATCGTGTCCGGAACGTTGGGCACCCACGTCTCGTCCTCGGTAGGATCCTCCTCGATGGCCTTATGCTGGTAGGGAGGGTTGGCCTGAATGCTGGCGCTGAATGTCCGCTTTTCATCAATCTTTTTCTGTGAAGTAATCCACTTCTTCAGAGGAACCAGGAAAGGGGCGACCATGTAGAACTTGTTCGCATTGGTTCCGGCACCAGAGTCATATTGATGGTTGTTACTGTTGTTTTGAGGGCCCTTTTTCCGAAGAGTGGGCAGGTCGGAAAGCTTGTACCACTCAATCTTGCTGATTTCCTTCCGGGTTCGAGGCTGAAACACCGTGTCCATGGGGACGTCGCGGAAGACGTAAAGGCGGAGATGCTGCTCTCTCATGGGGATTTCAATGTACTTGGGCTTCCCCTCCGTCGGCACCAGTCCTGCTGCCCGGAGGTCCAGGCCAGTCTCCTCGTAGACTTCTCTCACAGCACAATCAAGGTCATCTTCGTCCTTGTTGATCTTGCCACGAGGAAAGCTCCAACTAGCACCCTTCTTCCAGCCTTTCACAAGAACGACGGAGTCCAGCTCTTTGTTGAGCATAATAGCGCCGCGAACGGGCACACGTGTCTTGTACTGCAGGAACTCTTCAAACGCCTTTATATGGTTCTCAACCGAGAACGAAGCAAGCAGCGGGCAATGCTGAAAGATTCGCAGGCAGAAGGTGCGCAGCGTCATGGACGGGAGGGACGGATCGAGGGGGCGGATGAAATCTTCGTAGAACCATTGTGCTTCTTCGACTTGAAAGCATAACCGGGCGACTGAGGACAAGTCCTCTTGCGGAAGGTTGATGATGAACCGGACGCACAAGTCGTCCAGCCCTAGCAGACGGGTAGCAGGTCAGCATCTCACCGAGACCGGCACAACAGAGTTCAAGCAAGGGGGGGTTGAAAAGGCTAGTCCGTACAGTCTTCCAGCTGCATCTGTTTCTCAGCCATGTTTGTCTCTTGTTTGATGCGAGTGTTCAGCTCAGCCCCATGCTCCGATTAATAATAAAACAACGTGATCGTTCGGTCTTCACGATTTGGCCAGACGGAGTGCGCTTCGGACATGTGACAGGATAATGGGCATGGGCATGGTTCAGTCGTTCCGAGGGTCTGGCAGCTGAGATGGGATCGCGAGGCGCGCTTCAGCCACAGGCGACGAGTGCAGAGGCCCGGCCGGTTGTTGAGTTGAGCAGCGGAGTACTAGCGGGACAGAGGCGGTGCTGGCAGCGATTCGGAGACTTTGCCGAGATGGAGTTTGCCGACGCGGAGAGATGCTGAAGCTATCGGATGCCACGAGGTTGGTGAGGGAGGTTTGCCCGCTTTGGGTGCAGTTGTGATCGGGTTAGTCAGTGCGTGATGGCCGGAGGACGCCAGAAGTCGCACTGTCTCCGCTTAGGAAAACGTAGCACCCAAATTGCTGAGCGCCACATAAGCCACACAGTGTGTTCTCAGTCGCATACCAGCGGATAGCTTCAGCCACGCAGCCCAACTGCACAGCCTCAGTATCCCGTGGCTAGGTCGCCCCAACGTGGCCGTGCACTGCTCGTCTATCGTGGCGCTAGATCTGCCGAGAGTGGCCGGCTTTTGTCCATGTCCTGATGCTCACCTCAGTGGCAAAACGTCACCAGAGGCAGCCCAGCGCTAGAAACTCCCCTGTAACAAGCCCACGATTAGCGGCTGCTGGGGCACCTCCGGCGCCGTCTCATTGGCCGGCTCAGCGCCGATGCAGCCCTTCCCAGCGGCCTCAATGCTCTTCTCCAGTGATGCGCCGCCAAATTACATCATGACGCTTTCTGCGGGAGAGCCACCAGGAACACTTGACGCCAAAAACAGGTTCTACGCCATTCACTGCGCAGTCGAGAGACACGGCATATAAAAGACACGGTCAGGCCTGCGAATTTCTCTCTGTTTCAGTCTTCGTTCTTTCTTTCACTCTTGCTCCCTGCCAATTCCAACCGCCCGCCTGATTTGATTTGATAGCCTTGTCTCACTTTTGACGCCTTTATTTGGTTGGCTGTCGGCGGCCGCCCTTGAAAATCAACTGCCGCCCACTGGCGGTTTCTGAAACAGACGACAGCAAGCGCCTCTCCAATCGACCCGACGAGGCTCTCGATTGTGTCTTTGTTTGTTGAGAAGAAAGAAGCATATAAATATCGGATTCTTCAATCTTTCTAAAGCTTGAAAACCCATCACCTACCTATTCATTTCTCTTTGTCTTCGATAGACATTACCTCCACACAACACCGCAACCATGACGAGCTTATTGGCAAAGATGATCAGCAAACGGATCCTGGGGGAGTCGATGCAGAACAAGTTTGGCAAAGAGGTAAGAGGCAGCATCAAATCATCTTATTTCATTCCGCTTTACTGACAAGCTGCGTGTTAGGATCCGTACTTTGAGCAAGTCCCTGCTACGAGGCTCGATGGCAGGCCTACGGGCAAGGTCAAGAAGCGCAAGAAGGCTCTGCCCCCCGGCATCTCAGAGCACGACGGCCAAGTCCTCACAAAGGTCAAGAGGCGAGCATATCGTCTGGACATGAGCCTGTTCAACTTTCTTGGAATCCGCTTCGGCTGGAGCAGCGTCATCGGTCTGGTTCCTGCGTAAGTCGAGCATCTCCTCCCCACGCTCACCTTTTTGTACGGCTGGCTAACTTTGTTATAGTGCCGGCGACGTTCTCGATGTCTTCATGGCCTTGATGGTGTATAGGACATGCTGTCAAGTAGAGGGCGGCCTTCCATCCGCAATTCGGATCAGGATGCTCATCAACATCATTGTCGACTTCGCCATTGGCCTAGTCCCCTTCCTCGGAGACTTGGCCGACGCCGTGTTCCGCGCCAACACGCGCAACGCAGCACTGCTCGAGCAGCACCTGCGCGAAAAGGGCAAAAAGGAGCTTCGAAAAAGCGGACAGCCCATCCCGGCCATCGACCCCAGCAGCCCCGAAGAGTATGACCGAATCATGCGCGAAGATCCCCCCGAATACCAGTCGCATCCTCCGTCCCGCCGTGAGTCCCCGGCCCGGCCTGAAGACCGGCGTTACGTCCAGGACCCGAGAGCCCCACGCGAGCCAGACGCCGCCCGCGTCCGCGATGGCGGCGGATTTTTTGGTGGCCGCAGCAAGGCTCGCCCTCACGATGTTGAGACGGGCCATGGGAACGCGGATAGGTACCACGACCCACGACAGAACAGCAAGCAGCAGAGCAGGCGGTATGGTGGCTTCCTGTAGGCGTCTGCATGGTTCGGTTGCCACGTTACCGCGGGGAGCGCACATCGCTGGTTCGTTTGTCTAAGCGCCTCACGAAATTTCCTTTGCTCTTGCCATTGAATCTTCTTTGTTCTGCAAGCGGAGTCGTTTTGTTATTTTTTCTGTTTTCTCTTTGTGTTCTCGCATGTCTGGAACGCGTCCGTTTGTGTAATTATGAGGCTGGGAAGCTATGGGGTGGATCTGCGCATTTTGACGGCCCCATTGATGGGATAAACCAAAAAAGACTTTTGCGAGAGGGGCATTCATTCATAGGTAATGGTAATTGCGCGAAGACCTGCACTCGTCGTGGAAGATACAAAAGGGTGGAAGAAATGGATTGACAATGCCGCTGGAAAGGATGATGCCTGGTTTGGCCTCGCACAGCAGTGCTTTCTAGATAGATACCACTACAATAAAGATGAGAATCATGATATGAAGCATCGAGCATAATGCATCCAACTCTTGACCAAGTGAAGCAACCGACTGTTTCAGACCAGCAGCATCTGTCATGCTTTGCTAAGAAGCCGGAAGCTGATGCGGTGAAGACTGTGTTTCTGACGATCCGATTCCGTGGAGTCCGTACTTCGTAGGTATTATGGCTTCACTCGCGGTGACGAATGGCGAGTCGACTCGGGCGTGTTGGTAAGACAGACCAGGGCATGGATGGTGCTGTAGATGCACGCAAGTCTCCCTGCAGACAGCCCCTGGCTGCAGATGCGCACTACTGTAGGAGGAGACAAGGGGACAACGCCTTGTCACCCACCAGCTTGACGATGGTGGAAACAAACGAGACAACAATGGGCTTGACATTCGCGCTGAAGCTCGCTAGTCTAGTCCAATTCATCGTTCACGCTGAGATATGTCTGGCTTCGAGCTTGTGTTTGGCTCTAGCACAAGTATTCACAGCTCGACTTGGAGCAAGCCCTAGCTGAGCGTGAATCTCACTGGTGACGCCTCAAGTCGATGGAATGGAGACGGACTCGCGTCCAGAGCTCAGACCAGCCCCACGTCGGATCGAGCTCTCGGAGCTACGAGCTCTCGCTTGATCAGGCCCTCAAGCTCGCCCGGAGTGACGGAAAGGCGCGAGACTGTGCGCAAAGCAGTAGCAGATACTCCTGTCCCCTGTGATGCTCTCGAGTTGAAGTATCAGCTTCAAGTCGTACCTGTACCTGCATCGAGCACGGTATCCCACCGGCCTCTCACAACCAAGCACAGGCGAAGATACAAAGAAAACACACCACAAATCCTGGCCCCACTGACACGAGATCCAAAGCGTTTGTTGTTGCTGATTCAAGATTGATAAACAGGGAGCACGGAGGGTCTCACGCATCATCATTTGCTAAGCCCTCCAGGCACTCGCAGCAATGCCCAGGATCATCGAGTCATCAAGGTAGCGCAATACCTCGACGCGACTCCCAAGCTTCACGCGTCTGCCAGCGCCGAACCACTTTACACAGCGGCCACAGCACCGCAGCTGAGCAGCCCCGCCATGGCAGCCAGCGAGCCCCCGCGAGTACCGCCTCGGTACCTGTCGACCAGCCGCCATCCCTGCAGCGCCTTGCCCGATCCAGCGCCCCCAGGCCCCCAGGGAGGCTCCAGCGCATCTTCATAGGGCATCTGGAGGGCACTTGCAGGGCTCTTGCAGGCGCTGCGAGACCCGCTGGAAAACACGTCCTGAACGCGTCGCGCCGCACGTGACTGGCCTGCTCTGCTCTTACAAAAACCTCTGGCGCCACCGACGCTGAGAGTCTCGTCTCCTCGATCAAACCACACGCGTCTGCACCATTTCAGAGCAAATTGTTCCTGATATTCTTCTTTTTTCCCACTTTACGCGCTCTGTCTTGTTGTCTCGTCTTGTCTCTTGCTCAGTCAGATCCAATGGCCACCGAACTCACTCCCTCCAAGCTGGTGAGTGCAACCGCTTCCACCCGGACCGTGAACTGACACCACCAATTGCTTTTCAGAGGTCAAGCTAACAATGTCCTTTTGCAGGCCGCTTCCGCCATTGACTCTTTCAAGATCGAGTCCCCCGTCAAGAAGATCAACTTCAACGCTGCCGACAAGGAGAACCAGCCTCTCGACGAGTCCGCCCTCGAGAGCCTAGCCAAGGAGATGGACGACAACCACAAGGCCACCGAGACCGTCAAGAAGGTCGACAAGGAGGCGGCCAAGCCCGCCGTGGCTCCCACAATCAAGCCCGAGGAGATTGACGAGCCCATCCTGCAAGAGAACCCTCAGCGCTTCGTCTTGTTCCCCATCAAGTACCACGAGGTGTGTTTGTCCATACCCCTCCCCGGACGCGTTTCGACGCGTAAAGTGGCACACTCCACTTTGCGACAGGGACCTCTAGGAACGATAGTTGACTGACATTGCAATAGATCTGGCAAATGTACAAGAAGGCCGAGGCTTCTTTCTGGACCGCCGAGGAGATTGACTTGTCCAAGGATCTGCACGACTGGAACAACCGGCTGAACGATGACGAGAAGTACTTCATCTCTCACATCCTGGCCTTCTTCGCCGCCTCTGATGGCATCGTCAACGAGAACCTGGTCGAGCGCTTCAGCGGCGAGGTCCAGATTCCCGAGGCTCGCTGCTTCTACGGCTTCCAGATCATGATGGAGAACATCCATTCGGAGACATACTCCCTGCTCATCGACACTTACATCAAGGAGCACAGCCAGCGCAGCTACCTCTTCAACGCCATTGAGACTATTCCTTGCATCCGCAAGAAGGCCGACTGGGCGATCCGATGGATCCAGGACAAGAACTCTTCCTTTGCCCAGCGTCTCGTCGCCTTTGCCGCCGTCGAGGGTATCTTCTTCAGCGGTGCCTTTGCCTCCATCTTCTGGCTCAAGAAGCGAGGCCTCATGCCCGGCCTGACCTTTTCCAACGAGCTCATATCTCGTGACGAGGGTCTGCACACCGACTTTGCCTGCCTGCTGCACTCCCACTTGAAGAACCGTGCCAGCAAGGAGGTGATTCGTGACATCATCACCGACGCCGTCCGCATCGAGCAGGAGTTCTTGACCGAGGCTCTCCCTTGCGCTCTGCTGGGCATGAACTCCAACCTGATGAAGCAGTACATCGAGTTTGTTGCCGACCGCCTGCTGGTTGCCCTCGGCAACGAAAAGGTGTACAAGTCGTCCAACCCCTTTGACTTCATGGAGAACATTTCCCTGGGCGGCAAGACCAACTTCTTCGAGAAGCGCGTCGCCGACTACCAGAAGGCCGGTGTCATGAACAGCACCAAGAAGGTCACCGACGACAGCTCAGCCGGCGATGCCAAGGATGCCAACGGCGGTGACTTCTCCTTTGACGACGACTTTTAAGTCATTCGCCGTCTGGCGTGCCTTTTCTCCTCTCTTTTTTTCTTGCATTTCTCTCTCATCTCTTCCCTTTCTTGCTTTACACAGTTGGAAGCTTGTACATTTGCAAAAAGAAGCCGTCCGCGGGTTGGATCGGCGAAGATGGCGTTGAAGTATCATAGTGGACAGGGATCACATCGAGATGATTCCCATTGTTATTGGTTCAGGGGTTCACACAGACTGCGGGCGTTTTAGGCTATGGGCTTCGTTTTGATGATGAATTCAATTTCTTGTTCTCGTTTATGTTTCCAGCCCGTGGATGATAATGTGGAATGTGTTGGATCATGATACACTGTATGGGAGCACGTAGCTACGGAATACATAAGGTAGTTCAGCAATAGACCTGGATAAGTGATGATGGCCAGATCCGGCGTTACTCATGTCGCGGTAGATAATCTGTCTTTTAACATAAGAGGACGCGCGTTTCTACCAGGATGTTATATAAATCTTACATAAGAAAACATCACAAAAGTTTACACTAGAACACATGATAGTAAGGCCGTGATACAGAACGGCTGATCAGCCAGGTTACTATATATATTTCCAGTTCAAGAAGTAGTAGTTATAAATATTAAGTATAAAGTAGTTCTTTTAATACTATATCACCTTTGTTTAATTGACTATATTACGAATACATAATACTATAATAGTAGTATCTTATAGGTGCTTTGTATAATAGTTTAGACAGAGTTAGAAGCGCAGAAGACTAGTCCTACTAATAAGATAAGGTATTCAAAGACTCAGGGAGATGAGGCCCGTAACATATTACTTATAGGAGTAATGTGTCTGTTTGTGGCATTATGGGTTGCAGTATTACAGGTGACTACATTACACCTGCGTGACTATTATTCAGATGGTCATAAGTCGGATTTAACAGTTCGACGGGGATAGGCCAGATTCAACAATGCGGAGGGTGACATCGCAGCGGCGCAAGAGCACGGAGATGATCCATCATATGGGTTCTGGCAGTTGTTGATTGGCGAGTTTAGATGCGAAACCCTCAAATATGAGGTCTTGGTGCTGGTCGAAACGGACCGTCGGCATCGTACGACAACACCGAAGAAGTATGCGGGCCCGGGCCGTCGGGACCCAGAGAGGCAGGTGATGGACGGATAACCTTACATGACAGACGGATAACCTTGAGGAAACGGACGGATAACCTTCAGTTGACGGTGATCAAGCCTGTTCTTGTCAACAATGGCGTGAGTTGCGGGCGCCCGAATCATAAGAAGGAGGAAATAGAGAATATATTCTAATCCGAGCTCGTGCCGCTAATGCACGAAATGTACATGAACCTTTTCCTTTATATATAAAATAGCTAGGAAATAAGTAGTATTGTTTGCTAAATAGTCCAAGTTGAATAGTGTTTTCCTAACAGTTAGTTGCTAAAAGTGGAACCAACAGATAGTGCGATTCAACCGTCTTCAACTACACACGGTCTGCGACAAGGTGCGTTCGCAACTATTGACAAAGTGGCAGCACTTTGAGTGTGACCCTCTTGGGGCTTTGGCGAAATATCGTCAGGAGACTCTATAACTCTGCGGGCGCAAACACGGGCGCAACGGGCGCAAGCAACTCTTGGCCAAGCAGCAGTCCATCTGTTCAACTTGAAAGACTATAGAAGATATCCTAGCAAACTATATATATCAGTTGTGTTTACCGTCTCAGAGACTTTGAAGTTGACAACACAGTTACTACACTACAAGCCAACCTGATTATCAAGATTCATTGCAACCACAATCACAATGCTTTCCTACACTCTGATCTCTCTTCTCGGCCTTGCTTCTACGGCGCTCACTCAAGTTGCCAATATCAATTTCTACGAGAACGACGATGTCTGTCAATCGGGTCTCTTTGCGTCTTGCATAGACTTGGCGCCCAACACATGCTGCGCTTTGGCACCCAACCAGCTCGCAACCTGCATGGACTTCGCAACGACTACTGAGGGTGGCATTGGCACCGCTTTCTCGTCTCAAGCCGGCAACCAGTGTGGCGTTGTCCTTGAGAGACTGGACAGCGGGGTCTGTGTCTGTCCTACTGGATTTCCCGTCATCTCGGGCGGTAACTGGAACACCTCGACTTCAAGGCTCGAAGCCCGTGATACGCCTTGTGAGCCAGTTGCGCCCAATGCCTTTGGATGGACTGAGAACGATTCTACCTGGATGGTGTACAAAGAGGACAATGCAACTTATACCAATGTTGCTGAAGCTATGGCAAACGGTACCGCCAACAGCGATATTGCCAAGTTTATCATGGAGCATGGACAGCAGGTTTAGGTAGCCGTCGGTCCATCTTATGGTTCAACACAACATAGCAGATGGAGGATGTGCATGCTACGGGGGCGGGAGACGGAGTGTCTGCGTGTGAGGCTATGCCAGATCGCTATGCAAAGGGGAACAGCTCCAACTACTTTCACTATCTATGAGGACGGTATAAAGACATGTATATATGTTTTAGCTACATTCATTTATTCAGAAGCTATATAGCCAGTCGTTACCTTATACTATAGTATGTATCACAAAAAGATAGGGACATAGCCCAATTTATCTGCACCAGAATCTCAACTCTGTGACCCCCAGGCCCATCTCCGAGTTAAGGTAGAGAGCATCGCTGCAGGAAGCATCTTTGCTTACAACAGCGTCCCAAAGGTGCTGTCGGGCAACCTTCCAGGCTCCCGGCGTAGATGATGCATACCTGCACTTGCAACCCCATCCGTCGTCGAAATGGCCGACCTCGGATGCAGAGGCCAAGCCCCATTGGCCGGCCATTTTGTCCATGCACTCTTGATACCAACCGAGGTAGTGCGCACCTGCAACATTGGCATTACAACGGACCATTACCACGGGTCCAAATGTCGCTGCGGCTTTGGAGGGTCTGGTTGCGTTGATATGTGTGGCAGCATCGACGGCAAGACTGTGAGCGCCGCTCCAGATGCCAGATAAGGCCAGAGCAGGTATGCCAAAAGATTTACGCATCTTATTACTTCCTAAGCAAAAGACCCCCTACATCAGTTTTCCTGCTTTTCTTGATTGTTTTCGTTATCGGGTCACCTGTAGGACAACATACCAATGAATGGAATTGAAAGGAGCGAAAGGACACAAGATAACCCTCCTTTGTTTTCTAGAGGGGGTGGGGACAAAATAGTAGAGTCAGGAGGTTCAGTATCAGTGAGAAAAGACAGGCTTGCCGAATGAACGGTTTCATTCTCCGGCCACTTGAGCATTTTATACAGATTATATTCAGTCAGGATGTAAGGGTCAGCAAGGCTATTACAGCCGGCTGTGCCCCAGCCTTTGGTCCCCAAGTTGGGATGAATCCTTAACTCAATTCAGTCGGAATTACCGATGGTTTGTCTGCTTGTTTGCTTGCTTACTTACTGGTTTGCTCATGTGTTGTCTATCATACCTTGCTTCCTCCTTGCGATCGCAAACTTGGTGTTTGGACAAGGCCTCTAATTAACTACGCAATGCGCCAGAGAATCCTACGTACTATTATTGATAGCGCCCAATGCAATTACTGGTGGGCTGCTAGCATATGGCGCAAGGAGCGCAGGCACGGGCCTGATCCGTGCCAACATGAAATTTTCCTCGTCTGTGCAAAGAGAAGCAAGCGGAAGAATCTGAAACCATGCCATGCCACTCTTGCACTCCCAGAATCTTCACCATCATCTTTTTCTAGTCCTCCCAGACCCGACTGTTGGGTGTTATTTCCTCCTCATCATCTTGGTCTCGACATAACACGCTCGGCGGCTCGATCTCATGGCTTCCAGTCAGGATGGGGAGCAAACCCCCCTTCTACAAGCAAGTCCTCATGCCGACCATGTCAGAGAACCTGCGGTTGGCAATGCTACCAGGTCGCGTCTGGCTATCATCTTCAAATGTCTCTTGTTGCTCGTCTTTGCGGGTGTTGGAAAGACACTCATTGTACAACCGATAAATCACATACAGGAAGACATTTTATGTCACAAACCTAACGAGAATGACACAATGGTTTTGAACAACTCCGCTTGTCGACACGACGAACTGTCTCTGCTTCAAAGCTGGATAGCCGCTTCCGAGACTATCATGAGTTTCTTAACCGCTGCGCCATGTGGTATGGCGGCAGATATATATGGACGTAAACGAATGCTCCAGTTGTCCATTGCAGGCACCATCTTGGCGCAAGCATTTGACGCGGTTATTTGTGCGTAGATGTATATACCACGCTATATTCGAGCACGTTTTAACTGACTTACTGACTGACTGACTGACCTGGTCACGCTGCAGGCCGATTCCCAACAACGTTCCCAGTCCACTTGATGGGGTTAAAGGGACTCTGGGCTCTATTCGGGGGTGGTAGCACGGTTCTTTCGGCCATGATATTCACAATAGCAAGCGACATCAGTCCAGACACTCAAAGGTAAGGTGTCAATATCTTCCCCGTTTACCTTTTTTTGCGTAAATCATTAACATCCTTGGCTGGTCAACTACGTTCTTTTATCTTACGGGTGCTGCCATATTTGGCGAACTGCTCTCCTATCCGTTATTACTGGCTCTTACATACGCAGGCAGCTGGGTTTCCATATACGCCGGGTTTGGTTGCCTACTTGCGTCGTTCTTGATCGCGCTCTCTTTGCCGGAGACGCGCGCACCCAGCCTCAGGAGCGGTGGCCCAACGATAGCATCTGAGCTACGAACCCCTTCGTCTTACAAGTTTCGACTCACCCAGTTCCTGACGTCAATGGCCGGGCTCATCCATCGTGCCTTTACCGAGAACAAGAAGCTGGGCATGCTTATCGCTTTCTGTGCATTCACCACGACGGGCAGCAACATACCCCTCCTCGTCACCCAGCAGCGATCTTCACAGCGACCCGACTCCGCAGACATACCAGTTAGTTTTTAACATGTTTTTGTGTGGGCGTCTATGAATCATCTTTTCCATCGCTGACACACCTGACATAGATACTTTTGTCGATAGTATGGTCCAGCAGTTTGAAGGTCGTCTTGTTGACCATGATACTACCGCTGACCAGCCGCTTCCTGATCGAAAAGCTACGCTTTAGCCCCCTGAGAAAGGACATGTCCATCTCACGGGCCAGCATTGTAGCTCTTGTGACCGGATCCTTGGGAATCGCAATCACAAGCCACGCCCAGTCAACCATGTTGTTAGTCGCAGCCATCTACGTCTATGCTCTCGGGTGTGGCTACAATCCAGCCATGTACAGCCTCCTTGGCCTTTTGTCCGGGGGCCATCACATTGGACTATTGTATGCGACTATTGGCGCGATGCAAAGCGTAGGTAGCTTCATCGCCGGCCTCATGTTTGGGGTCTCGGTTGAGATTGTGCCATTTCTCTTCACAGTCCTGTTTCTGGCTGTTGTTGTGGGTACTTTGTTTTATGTAAAGTTGGAAGAGACCGAGGAAGGGGAACCAATCTGGATTACTATGGACTCCCTTGAACCGCTTAGCAGTTAGTTTTAGGTAGTAGATCAACTCCAGTTGTGGAGGCCTGGGATGCCAAAACCTGAAGACAATACACTCAAGAGAAGTGCTTGACAAGACCCCGAGTACTCCGCTACCTATAGTCGTATGTATTAGTCCCTGGCTTTGTATGACTTATACAGATGAGGAGAGAATGAAGCTTTTGCGCCTTTGACCTCGAAGGGGTTCATGATTATCGCTCGCTCGAGCATATCTCCGGCAATGCAAGCTGCAGAAACCACCCCGAAAGTACTACTACAGCATACAGACACTCTCCCGACCCAAGCCGCTGAGTTTCACTACTGATTCCTGCAACGGTGCACTGGCAAGGATCAAGTCTGCGGGGTCTGTGAGCTATCCTGGTTGTTTGCTAGTTTTCATTTCATCTTGTTATTGAACTGACAGCGATCTCGTCTCGCCCTCGCACCGGCTTGTAAGTGTTGAGCCTTTTATTATCCATCCCAAAGGGCTCCTCCTCCTCCTCCTCCTCCCCTTTTTACTTGAAACCAAGATCATAAACCTCTTTATCAGTGCCAACCTTTTGTCTCTTGTTCTTTTTAACAACATAAGGTAGTACAATGGTACAATCTCAATCTCTCTCTTCCACTTTGCTCAGGTATAAGCCAAATTCCGTCCAGCAACAATTACCCCTTAGACCACAACGTTTGACAACTTCCCAGCACACCAATCCTCGACATTCTGCTTAAAAGTCTGCAAGTAGTTGTCCATGGTCGCGCTCGCGCACCACGCCACATGAGGCGTAACCACCAAGTTCACCTCGTCCGCTTCGGCCTCGCTCAAGCCGAGAATCGGGCTATCGCCGTCCTGCCAGTGCTCGCCCGCTCCGGAAGGCTCCTTCAGAAACACGTCCGTAGCACACCCGTCGATCAGCCCGCCTCTGAGCGCTCTCAGCAAGGCATGCTCGTCTACAATGCCCCCGCGCGTGACGTTGACCACGATCGCCTTTCGGGACATTGTCCGAAACTCGTCGTCGGATATCATGTTGATCGTGTCTGGATTCCGGGGCAAGCATAGCACGATGACTGATGATCGGCGCAGAACCTCTGTGAAGGGGGTTCTGCCATTGGAAATGGTCTCTGTCCCCGCTGCGACTTTCCGAGAAGCAATCAAGACAGTCATTCCAAGGCCGCGGCATGCTTGAGCAACACGTTGCCCTGTTGTAGCCCATGTCAGCAAAAGAGTTGAAATTTTGGCATCGAATCGTGGACAACATACCTATTGCACCATATCCGACAATCCCCACTACCTCTTCTTGACAAGATAATGGCAAGCCACCATCTCTAGAAAGCATCTTCCTCATCACCGTCCCCTGTCTCTTCCACTCGTCCGTCCGAAACACGGCGTGGTGCATCGTCAACAAGCGCCGGCGACACGCAAAATACATTGCCAAGGCATGGTTCGCAACGCTCTCCGTATTCGCGCTGGGCGAGTTCAGCACCCTGATGCCCCTTTCTTCGCATCGTCGCTTGTCGATGCCGTCCGTGCCGGATGCAATGACCACCACCAGACGGAGGTTTGGCGTCACGGCTGCGGAGAGGGTCGAGGCGTCAAGCGGAGTGACCGTGACGGCAATGATGCTGGCGTCTTTGACGCGATCGTGAATCTCTTGCGGCGAGGCTGATTTCGTCTCGCAGAGCTTCAGGTCGTACGAGTGCGAGGCCGGCAGCTGCAGGAGATCCGGCGGGATGGGCACATGCCACGCATCGAGGGCGACTATTTGATGATGCATGGTGCGAAATTGTAAGCTGGGGAGAGGTTTCACCATACGACGCATTACAAAAAGAGGAGGAAGTAGAGAAGGAAAACAAACCTTTGGCATTTTGGATGCAGATAAAACACTCTTGATCTGATTTCCCCATATGATTCCGATTCTTTATATGAATCTGACTCCCCATATCAATCCGATTACGCCTATCAGTAAGATCAGCATGTCAAGTTCGGCTTAGTTGAGCGGGCTTCAATTGGCGCGCCCTTTGCATGACAGAGGCTCTCATTGGCCAACAGCCGACCTCGATTTCTGAAAAGAGTAGTTGTAAGACGATGCTCCATCTCTCTAGTCGGAGAGAAGACGAGGCGTGTGATGACGGTTCTATATTCAAGACTATAGTCTTACAGGCAACGAAGCCTGTCTACACTCACTCAATCCCTCTTCACCCCCAACTGCTTGACGGTCCGTAATCCAAGCACACTCAGCACACAAGTCAATGCCATGGCGGCGAACATGGTCCAGAAGACGGCGCGATACCCATCCATAAGGGCGTCGGGCGACTCTTTATCCGCGTCAGAAGATGAATTGGTCACAGAGGTGGCAATGAGCGAGGTAACGGTCAGGCCAATAGCTGTACCCAGCTGCGCACAGGTGTTGAAGACAGCTCCGCTCAAGGCCTGCATGTGTGGGGGAAAGACGTCAGACACGACGAGGAGGCCAACGGTGAAGAGGATGTCGCAGCTCAATGGAGTCAAAATCTGGATGTAGTCAGAGACGAACCCATACAGAGGACGCCTATAGCGACGGACTGGGTATCATGCATCACTCACCTGGGCGAAGAAAGCATCGTACCAATAAGGCCATTCGGGATGGATGAGGGCCATGAGAAGCGGTGCGACTGCGCTGATGGTCGAGGAGATGAGTACAGACCACATGACTGGCATACGATTCACAAAAATGCCGGTCGAGATGTTGGTCAATGCTCCAGAAATGAGCGACGGGAGAATCTGCAGTGAAGCGTGCAGTGCGGAATGACGCTGGACTTTCTGGAAGCTGGAGAATAGGCCCAATGTTAGCTCGATCCAGAAAAGGACGGACTGCTACGAAGAACCGACGACTTACAACAGACTGCTGTACAGCTCCATGCAGTTGCATACAGCCGTGGTGAAGAGCACCATCAGGCAACAGCTTGTAAACACCCAGTTTTTCCACAGTGAGTTGGGGATGAGCGCATTGCGCTGGTGCTTTTCCTGGTACTGCATCCATCCTATGAACGCAGGGATCAAGACAACACTGACAACCAGCAGGGCAATGGTGGATGCCTTGTGAATACTGTGGATGTCGGCGGATAAGACTCTGTGAGGTCTGCGAATCAGCTCCGCTCAGAAATAGGTATAACCGGTGAAGGGATCCTTACGCGAGAACATAGGACAGCATGACCAAGCTTGCGGTCCCGATGATTGCCCCGACGATGTCAATTTCCGCCGGGATCCGGGACCAGATCGATTTTCCGCCGGGGCGGACAGCGTTCTTCGGCAACACCCAGATACCGGCCAAGAACAAAGCGAAAGTGGTGGCTGCGGCAAGATAGAAGGCGGCCCTCCAGCCCGTGCTGTCAGCAAAGACACCGCCCAGAACCAGACCAAGCGAGAAGCCAATCGGGCCAGCAAAGCCCAGGCACGCAAAGCCCAGGTTGCGCGGCCTCCCCTCCCTCAAGCCGGTCGAGACGATGGAGACGGACGAGGGCACGATGATGGCGTTTGTGATGCCCTGCAGAGCGCGAAAGGCAATCAACTGGCCGCTGCTTTGGGCCAGACCGCAGGCCATGGCGGAGACGGCAGCAGTGAAGGCGCCTACCAGGCTCATCGTCTTGGTGCCGACGACGTCGGCGATGGAGCCGGCCAGCAACAGACACGACCCTGCCGTCAGGTAGAAGACCGAGGTCGGCCAGACAAGCAGCCCCTCGTCAATGTGCAGAGAGGCCGCCATTGCCGGCAGGCCGACAACAACGACGCCGTTGCAGAAGCTGCTGAAGAGGTTCAGGCCCAGCAGCTGCGCAACAACGAGCGTGGCTCGCCACTTGGAGTGGACGATGGCCGGTTTGGCGTCGTCTGCTGGAGGACATGGAGTCGCGGGCGGAGAGCCACTGGACGGCTCCGAGAGTGCTTCAGCTTCCGCCGGGCCGCCATTGGCCTTGACGGGCTGGAGCTCGACCGATTGCGGCTCCGTCAGTACTTGTGTGGCCATTCTGCTGCAAGGTAAGGTACCTCGTGTGCAACAAACGAGATGCGAGATTTGTTTGAGTCTCCGGGACTGTGAAGTGTGAGTTGACAGTTCCAGAGTGCAGCTGGCGGGGGGCAGCATTCACTCAACTCGCATTCAGCCGGGGTTGGTTAGATCATTTTGTCTTATGCGCACCCAACAACTTGAATACAGTACAGCAGTACAGTACAGTACAAGTATTGACTCTGAGAATTATAAGTCCGGGTACATGAACCGTGATTGACATGAGGTCACGTACATATCCACTTCTCATGTTGATTAAAGTGATTATACTAGGATGAAAGTAAGGATAAAAACAGGATTATGTAGAGAGCTTTATATTTAAAGAGGGAAGAAAAAGAAAAGGGAAGATACTATTATAGTTTGCTATATAATATATATCTATTTAGATTATCATGTTTTATAGTTTTATTTCCAAGTACCTAGGTATCTAAGCTAGAGGCGTTGAGTTGAAGTACTGTGAGAAATCATCCCTGTCATCAATCCCGTTAGTACTAGCATGTGCTACTGCTTCAGGCCACTCCCCGGCCGCTAAAGCTCCCTGCTCAGCCCTGTCAGCACCCTAAAACCTCCCCCGCGCTCCACCCGTTGATCCCCGATACCCGCCGCCCCAATCGGAGCTTCTCATTCTGCATCTCATCATTTCTTGCCCCAACTCTGGCCGCCAAGGATCAACCACAAGGATCCAGAACACGAAATCCTTCTGCTTGCCATCAAAATGTTCCCGCCCTCAGCCCAAGGAATGGTGGCGGAATCCCGCGCGGGTTGCAGTTGTAACCTCCACGGGGATGCCCATACAGTACTAGTCCGCTTTGATGTCGCCACGACAGTCCTTGGAAATGGCTCTACTATTGCGAATACGGAAACTCTCGGCGACTCGGCTCGAAGCCATGCATACATACCATGTGTGGGGGGTTCATGTTGCCATAACATCTCCAGGCTGGAGCTGACCATCTCATCAGTTTCAATGACACATCTCACCAATCCTTCAGGCACCTGTGGAAAGCAAACTGTGCAGCAATTCTGACCTACACCGCCATCTCTGAGAAAGGAATGCATATTGCACTATGCAGTAGTCCGCTGGGACGGGACGGAAACTGTAAGAATTCAAGTTTCTATCTCGGCGGTACGCGAAACGCAGAAGCGATGGCAGCTGTTTAGAAGGGCGCAATGTCTTACGCAAACCCGCTGCCAATAACCAAACAGAACCTAATTGAAAAGCTTTTTCCATTGCTAGGTCGGCTCAAGTAAGCCTATCATCAAGGCCCATCTTTCAAGCATGATATACCGATATTGGAAGCCATGAGCATTGCATTTGACAAGCCCGACTTTTCAGGAGTCTTATAAAGGGTTGTGTCAAACAGATATCAGCAGATGGCATCCATCTTGTGGCCATGTTACCTCGCCTTCGTGTACGTGACATGTCTTGGGTGAGAACTAGAAGAAATAGTCGGGTAGCTACATCTAGGGAGCCACGAAACTTGGCTCTCAGCGAATTGTATTAGTCCTTTCTCCAATTCCAAACTTCAACGGCAGCTTATTAGTCACATGAATCAAACGTAATGGCCAGCATATGGGCCAGGACGCAATCCTGAAGGCGTCGAGTCCTGCATCACCATCATATTTGGCCGAGACATGACAAGTGGACTTAGGCAGTAGCAAAGAGGGAGCGGCGGAGGAATACGCACAGCCCCGGGTTACACATGATGAGGATGAGATATTGCATCCTTCAGGGGCAAAAAGGAGACGTACATGTACCTGTACTCTCGAGTCCCCGAGGTTTGCACGTTCTTCACACGGTCATGCCATTGGATGTTGCGATTGAAAGTACATAAACAGCATCCAATATCACCATTCTATAGACATGCATACTCGTCACTCTGCGAAAATCTCCCGAAATATTCAACTGCTATTCAACTGAAGCTAGCATATATCTTAAGCTTCCTTCACTCCAATTCCAAGTCAGGGGTACGGCCTTTCTTTTACATCGTTACCTATACAACATATCATATCATGTCTTTCACAAAAATCATCATCCTCTCCTCACTCTTCATTGCCTTCCTCTTAGTCCAGAGATGGCGTACATGGTTCAGCCGTCAGGCCAAAAATGTCACCGCCTTGGATACGGACCAGAAATCGAGACTCGAGGCCAAACTGGCAGAGCGAGTCACGCTATACAAGGAGCTGTACTACAAAGTACAGAACCTCGAAGAGTTCCCTGAGGTCCTACCGACAGCAAAAGAGATGCTCCTAGAACTGTTGGAACATGGCTTTTCCATGGCAAAATACAAGCCGCAGACCCGCAGCATTCTAGACCTAAAGGAGTACGACCCGGCATCTCTCGATCAGTTCCTCGAGGCCGAACGTCAAGAAGTCTCGGATGGATTCGAAGCATACGTCAGGCGAAGAGCAGCCGGGTCGCCTCGAGAACTGTTCAATACCAAGGAAGACGCCGTCCAATGGCTGAAGCGCCTTGCCCCCTTGAATCTCATCGATGGAGCGTGGCTATGCCGTGTCCACAAGATCACGACACCGTTTGTGCTCAGAGACATTACCAAGAATGCCTGGCAGGTCTTTTCGGAAGAACTAGGAGATGGAGATGTCGAGAAGAACCACGTCTTGATCTACAGAGATTTGCTGAGGAAGCATGGTGTTGATCTTCCAGCGTGTGACTCGATCGAGTTCATCCGGGAACACCACGGACTGGACGATGAGCAAGTGTGGAGGAATTCAATTGGCCAACTGCTCATCTCCCTCTTCCCCAACGAGTTTCTACCCGAAATCCTGGGCCTGAACCTGCACTTTGAAGCCTTGGCACCCACCGGCTTGAGAGCAACCAAGGAGTTCCCCGAAGTGGGCATCTCGGCGTACTACTTCGCCCTGCATGTATCCATCGACAATGCTGACTCGGGACACTCGGGCATGGCGTTGGCCAACATCGTCGCCTTCATGGATCTCATGCGCAAGACGGGCATGATGGACTGCGCGCAAGCGTGGAAGCGCATCCAGGCCGGCTATCTGCTCTCGCAAAGCCTCGACGACAGCGAGACGCCCGACGTGTTTGAGGAGAGGCTGATCCAGATCCTCCATCGCAAGGCGAATCTCGCACGCAAGATCCACTGCACCAGCCGAGCCCGCATCGGTGGGAAGAGCCTATCAGAGTGGTTCTCGTCGCCCTTCTCGGCCAACGAGGAGAAAGGAGACGAGTGGAAATACGGCTTTCTGCACGCCTTGGCTGACTCGAGGCCGTGGGTGTACAGAGGCAACAGCAGCAAGAGCCTGCTTATGAAGGAACTCTCCTGGACGGGTAGAATGTTTGGCGCATTCACCGACAGCGAGGTCCAACTCATGCGCACCTGGATCGACTCTCTCCCAGAAAAGGACGCTCGTCCAGGAGACGCCTACTGGAAGACTGTCGGAGGGCACTCACTTTTGGAACACTCCTTTCTACCCTCACGGCAGGATGTGGCTGTTACTCACCCAGTCTTTGGACCCCAGGATGTACCATGCCCCTCCAGCGCCTCCTCGCCCGACTTTGCCCCCTTACCCGCCCTGCAGGTCTCTCAGATCAGGCTTGATGCCCTTCTTCCGCTATGGTTCGTCCATCCCTGCGTGTTGGAGAACATAGTAGCGTCGCCGTATCAGACAGCCGAGCCGTTGACGTCCAAGATCCTCCAAATCATCCGCGCCGAGATGGGCTACAGCCCAGAGAACACGGGCATGGCGGGCATGGACGAGCAGCTGCGCCGCGGATACCGCCCCGACCTCGTCGCCCTCGGATGCGAAATGGCGCGCAGGAACAACGTGCCCGAGCCGACGTGCCTGGGCGACATCATCGCACCGCTGAGCGAGGATTCGCCCGCAGCCACCAAGTTTGCGCACTCCTTGCTCAACTGGTCCATGCGGCCGCAGAGCAACGGCGCGTTCCTGCTGGGCCTGGCTCGCGCTTTTCTCGACATGGAAGTGTGGGTGGCTGCGGACGAGTCGTTGCTGGCCAAGGAGGCGAGGAGGTATCTGTGGCAGGTCATTGAGCGGAAGAGGACGGGATTCGAGGCTTGTCTGACGGAGCTCGATTCGGATCCCGCCAAGTCTTGTGAGTTTGTCGGCGGTTACGAGTATGGACGGGCGGAGATTGAGAAGATATTGGCGTGAGCGGTCATCAGCATACCCAGTAGAGCTTCAGAGTATGTAGATTGATATTGCTTACAGCACGAAGATGGTATTCTCAGAAAAGTCTCATATATCCAGTACCTAAACCCCAACTACAGAATCCCTTGGATACCAAATCACCAGTAGAGAGCATTAAAGTGTGTTGATTGAGATTGATACAGCACGAAAATATCATTCCTGGCGGAATGTCATATATCTACCTGTAGTATCTAATACTACATGTATCCAACTGCAGAATTCCTTGGATACCAACAAAACGAATCAGCACACCTGCTGTACGCTTGCGTCCAAGTCATACATGATGAGATCAATCTCGTTCGGCGTCTGCTTCACTCGATGCAGAGGCGCATGCAGCCGCCCATCCGAAAACCCCTGAAATCTATCGCCGACATTCACAATCGGCAAATGCTCCAGCACATCAACGAGCTTCCACGTCTGCGTCTGCCTGTCCAGCACCTCCAGGAACGGCTCGTCGTAAAAGGTGAGAGTCAGGAGGTCCTCGTCCAAATGTTCACCCATGACCGGCGTCCCAGCTTTTGCAGCCGATATGCCCAGGCACAAGTTGCTCAGGCCGGTGCTGTTGGGATCGTCCACAACTTTGGTCGCAACAGGGGGGTCCAAGTTTTGGCATAGCAGCATGGAGAGGTGACGGAGAATGGCGTCGATTCTGGACGACACGTTGCTGACTTTTGCCTCGACTGCTTGCAGGTCTTTGGGCAGGGCAAGACAGCCCTGAACCTGCTCCTCGCGCGACAGCTGTGGGAATAACGAGCAAGTTAGTTGAGCCCTCTGTACTTGTAGTTTATATACCCCCAACGTGCAAAAGTCCAAGATGGCAGACAAACCTTGAGTCTCTGCACAAAGATGTCGTCAAAACTGTCGTATCTGCCATTGCAGCGGTCAACGCCATGCCCCCCTTGTAACTAGAACCGAGGACGTCTTCTCACCCTCGACCGTCGAGCGGACTCGCATACGGCATCTTCATCTCGGGCTTCTGCCCAAAGAAGTTGCGCTGAGCATCAATGATGGGCTGCAGGTCTGCCAGCAGGGATTCGCTCTCTTGTCCTCTCAGGTCCAAGAAGAACAGCCCGGCGGTAGAACAAATGCTGACCAGCCTCTTGATCTCATTGTCGTCACGTTCCAGCAAGCGCTGATAGTCGATAACTTCTAGAGCCATGTGTGCCATTTTACTTTTTTCTTTTGATCACACCCAAGAAAGCCTCAAACAAATGAAGACCGAGACAAGATTTTTGGACCATGAGATGGACTCCTCGGGAAGAGGCATGAGCTTATGGAGACTGGGGGATGGCGCAAGCCCTTATGCTGCATGCACAGGGGAAGCCATCATCAAAATTGGCATCAAATGTTCACGTACTGCTACTTGTAGGTACATACATCTTGATGCATGTAAGACGAGGCTCTGGGAGGTTGGGGGAATGTGGGCGGCTGGGGGCCGTTGATCTTTGCTACAGCATTTCTTGCATATACATGTACGGAGTGATATACGACACGGCAGAGATCTTTGATCCTCCGAATCCTTCGTCCCTCGTTGTCTCAGCACACACCATTGCCACATGCACCTCCAATTTGTTGTCACAATCCTGCATCACTACCTCGCTTCAAGCCGTGAATAACAGCTTTTATCAACAGAAATTTAAACAGGATTCGTTATTCTTACATGATGGAAACAAGTCAAGATGACACATTTCGAGACGATGTCTTACTTTCGCCGTCGTGTCTTTCGACTAGGAAAAAGCAGGGGGGCTTATTACACCGAAAGTCTTTCAGGATTCTTACATTCAAAATGTGATCAAATCAGAACTGCACATGACATCTTTTGCTCAAAAGGCCATTCCAGTGGCCAAGCAACCCTCTCTTTTCAACTCAATATCTCGGAGAAAACGAGGTCCGCCAAGGGGCTCGACAATAATAACCTGAATCTCCAGTGCAGCCAAACTGGAAGAAAGTAGATAACTGTTTTCTAGAATCGGATATGGGTGCAGACGAGTTACCAGCAACCAACCTCCAGACATCGGGCATCGATCCGAACAAGCCTGGTGGTCCCAATGAAGGCATCGCTTTTACCGGCCGTGTCCATAATCTCTCTCCCAATGAAGGCGACGGCTCAATTGCCCTCCTCCTGAGAAAGAATGGCCGATTCTTCAGATGCAAGCTGAAAAGTGCAGATGGCGCGGACCCTGCCATCTGTGCCACGGCTCGGCGCCTGACCCCTGAATCGCTCGTTCGCATCTCGTGCGGCGTAATTGCGTCCGACAACGCAAGCTCGGAGACGTTTACCATCACGCAGGTCTCTTCACTCGTCATATTGTCCGAAGCAAAGGCCAATCTCGCAGGCAATGTCCCGAAGCTGCATGGAGCTCCCGGAGAGCCTCTGCCTCCTCTGGGCGAACGGCTTCTTCTTCTCGACACAAGGCTTGACAACCGGCTTTTGGACGCCCGCGTCGCAGCCACGGCATCCATCTTCAAAATCTTCTCGGCGGTGCACAACTCAGCCGTCAAGTATCTAGCAGGCCAGGACTTTCATTACATTCCGACGCCGGCCTTCGTGGGCTATGAGTTCCCCGCCGAGGAGGAGGACCACTTCTATCTCGACTATCTCGGCAGGCAAGCGATGCTGGCACCCACCGGCGAGGTCCATCTAGGCATGGCGCTCGCCGCAGATCTTGAGCGTGTGTACGACATCCATACAGTCTTCCGTCGGGAACCAAAGAGTGATGGAAGACATCTGACAGAGGTTCTGATGCCCCCCCTTTTCCCATGATTTCGAATGTCCACAATATATCCCCAGAAGGAAAAGAAGAAAAAAATGCTTACATACAAGTTCTAGTTTACAATGCTTGAGCTCGTGTTTGCGCTCAATAACGATTGGACCGAGATCCTTGAGCTTGCCGACAGTCTCTTGGTTTTCCTCTTGCGGTCCCTGCAAGAAGACGACAAGTCTGCCAGACACACAGCGGCTGCACAAAGACTGTATCCTGCCGCCGGAAGCTTCAAGCTGGGCTTGGACAAGAACGGGAAGCTGCCGCGCGTACGGTTTGATGAGGCCAAGGCTATTCTCCGTGATCACCTCGGTAAGGCGGCTCACGTCGAAGAAGACCTTACGTATGTATCTATCTACCTATAACGGTAGACCTTGCTGAAGGTTGAACCACCATCACTAACGATTTCATTCAGGAGAGATGAAGAGGCATTGTTGGGACATCTTTTCGCGAGCAATCAGTCGCCTCTGGACTCACCCCCTACCGATGTATTCATCATAACCCATTTTCCAAAGCATCTTCGACCGTGCAATGTCTCGTCATTGGGTCGGGACGATGCGACGACAAACTCCTTCGACATCATCCTGCGCGGACAAGAGATTGTCACGGGATGCCAGTTGCTTCACTCACATGAAGAAGTGAGAGCAGCCTTTACAAACCGCGCGCACCCCATCGATCCAGACTGTCCCGGCTGGCAGCCATACACCGAGGCGCACGAGATTGGGATGCCGCCATGGGGCGGGTTTGGGCGTAAGTTGTTCACTTTTCCTTGTATGCTTTTTGTTTTGCAGTACTGACGCATCGTCTTACAGTTGGACTGAATCGTCTTGTACAGGGATATCTGGGTTTGGGCGATGTTCGCGAGACTGTTCTCTTCCCGCGTGATGCATGTAGACTGGCGCCGTGAGAGCTCGAAAAATAGAATCATACAGCGATCCGTAACACACAAACTGTTCTATTACGTGATTGCCATTGACAATCGTCATGAATACATGTAGCCTCATCCTTTGCCGCGTTTGGCGTCACGGCCCGATGGATCATCGCAGCCTGTGCAGTCCCATGGCGTATGAGTATTCCTTTTGCCATGCGTAGCGGAATCACTTTTACATATTAAACTTGATCAATATACTACAATGAATCAATATACTGTACATACAATAAATCCTTCAGATCCTTCTTCCTTTGGGCTATAATCAGGCCCGCATTCCAGCAATTCACCAGTCACCGTTTGCTTATACCGCAGCTACACGGCATACATATATGCAGGTGGCGACCAACTGCAACCAACAGACAATAGCAAACGATACGTCATGAGAATAACAAGACCCAACTCGATTTCCATTCATTTGTGCAAAGGATGGCCTGATCGTCTGTGCACCCTCATTCCCCTCACTCGTGCCCGTTTCCTCAGAGTTTCGCTCATTCTCACATTCGCGCCTCCGTCAACCTTCACATCACAACTTGAACGAAACATGGCGAAAGGAAAGGTTTGCCTCGCTTACTCTGGCGGCTTAGACACGAGCTGCATTCTAAAGTACTTGCTGGTGAGTTCGCCATTGCCCACCGGCTCTCATGCTCATGGCTTGGTGTGCGTCCGGCTGACAAGGTTGTTTAGGAAGAAGGATACGAAGTCATCACCTTTACGGCCAACATTGGCCAGGAAGAGGATTTCGACGCCGTCAGAGAAAAGGCGCTCAAGATTGGCGCCAGCAAGGTCTACATTGAGGATCTTCGCAGAGAAGTACAACTTAGAAAAACCCCCCTTTTCCGACAAAATCAAGGGTCGATTGCTGATTTTCCCTCTTCTTCTTTCTATATGCAGTTCATCGAAGAGCAGTGCTTCCCTGCAATCCAATGCAACGCCATCTATGAGAACGTCTACCTCCTCGGCACCTCGCTTGCGCGCCCCGTGACGGCACGAGCCCAGATTGCCATTGCGCAAAAGGAGGGCTGCTTCGCCGTGTCCCACGGATGCACGGGCAAGGGCAACGACCAGATCCGCTTCGAGCTCGCCTTCTACGCCCTCCAGCCGACCATCACCGTCATTGCGCCCTGGCGCGACCCCGTCTTCTACGACAGGTTCAAGGGCCGCAACGACCTGCTCGACTACGCCAAGGCCATGGACATCCCCGTCCGGAGCACCAAGAGCAAGCCGTGGAGCATGGACGAGAACCTCGCCCACTACAGCTACGAGGCCGGCATCCTCGAGGACCCAAACACCAGTCCCCCAGACGAGATGTGGCAGCTGACTGTCGATCCGAGGCAAGCCCCCGATCGGCCTGAAGACTTCACCGTCACTTTCGAAAAGGGCCTCCCCGTCAAGCTCGAGTACGAGGGCGGCACCAAGGTCGCCACAGACTCCGTCGACCTGTTCCTGACGGCCAACGCCATTGCGCGCAGAAACGGCGTCGGCCGCCTGGACATTGTCGAGAACCGCTTCATCGGACTAAAGTCCCGCGGCTGCTACGAAACGCCCGGCCTGACCATGCTGCGGGCCGCCCACGTCGATCTGGAGGGCCTCGTGCTGGACCGTGAGGTCCGCGCTCTCCGCGACCAGTTCGTCACCTTCCACTACGCAAGGCTGCTGTACAACGGGCTCTACTTCTCGCCCGAGCGCGCGTTCCTCTCCAAGAGCATCGTTGCTTCGCAGGAAGACGTCAACGGCGGCGTGAGATGCCGGGCTTACAAGGGCTCCTTTAGCGTCCTCGGGCGTTGGTCTGATAATGCCGCCAAGCTGTACGATGCGAGCGAAAGCTCCATGGACGAGATTGGTGACTTCTCGCCAAAGGACACGACTGGGTTTGTCAGTGTGAATGCGATTCGACTCAAGAAGTACGGAAAGGCTATGGAGGACAAGGGGCAAAGCTTGGCCAAGAGATCCTAGCGAACTATGGTTCACATAGACAGCATCATCACAGGATGTTTATAAGAACCTCAGACGAGAGAACACAATATACTACAATAAACAAAAAGAAAGCGCAAGAAACATACAACAGCCGGTGTTCGCCAGTGGTCACCCACCTGACTACTAATCTGCCTCTCATTAGCTTGACTCTGGGAGAGCGGACGGGATCCCGTATTCTCTAATGGATATGGTCGTATGTGACAGAGTGATCCCTTTTCGTCTCCCTATAACAACAGCATCATGATGGCTACAGTCAAAAAGGCAAAAATGAGAAAAACATACAACAGCCGGTGTTCGCTGGTGGTCACCCACCCAACTACTAATCTGCCGGTTAGTGGCTTGTCTATGGGGGAGCAGACGGGACCCCGAATTTTCCACTACCTATGGTCGTATGTGCTTGGATTGGGGAGGCAAGCAGCCTATAGAGCTGTCCCGACCCTATGTATGGAACTGGATCTGTGTCTTTGACCGGTCATGGTGTGCGTTGTTCAAGCGGAACTTCTAATAGCCTCTTTTCTGCTGTGCGCCTTTGATGACCCGTGCTTTCCACGCAATGCTGGCTGAGCTGTATACAGTCATGAGTAGTGTCCCCATCCATGCCCACGTCCCTTGTTTCCATCTTTTATATCAATCATATATATCATCATCCCAATGAACATTCAAGCATTCCAAGCATGTCCGTCTCTCTCATCACAGCCCACGCCTCCCGTCAAGACCACATTCCCCGCCTCATTTCTTCCCCTTCTTCTTCTTCTTGCCGCCCCCACCACCCTGCTGCTGCTGCTGCTGCTGTCCCTCCTTCTGTGCCTGTCCCTGCGGCTGCTGAGCCCCAGCATCCCCCTCCACAGCAGCAGCATCCGCATCCCGCATCTCCTCCTCGGCGACATCCTGCACGCCCGCCATGGCCTTTCCGAGGCGGCCCATGGCGGCGCCCATCAGCCGCGTCACCTCGGCGGCCTTGGTGGTGCGGTACTTGAGCGTCACGCCGCCGACGGGGTCGTATGTTTTCAGGACGAGGCTCCCGCGGGGAGGTTTTGCTGCTGCTGGTGTTGCGGGCGTTGTCGTTGCTGTTGCTGTTGCTGTTGCTGTTGTTGAGGATGTGTCTGGGGCATTTGTCATGTCTTGGTCGGCGGCGGTGGTTGTGGATGGTGTGGTGGTGGTTTTGCGGGGTTTGACTGGTTTGATGGAGTATCGAACTGTGACGCGGGTCTGGTATACGGCATGTCATAGTCAGTCACCAATTCGGAGCCAGCATCGTCATTTCGCAGAAGGACTGGGGGGCTGATGAGGAGAAGAAGGAGGGGGAAGAAACGATGGGCGCAAACGTACCTGCGAGGGCCGAGCCTCAAGGAGAGCGATGGAGTGGTCGAGCCATTCCTGGCTCGTCTTAAAGTATGGCATCGGATTGCTATGACGAGCAACGCTCCATATAAGGGTTCGTATTGTACCTTGAAAGCGAATGCCGTGGTCGTTGTGTATTTGGTTCCGGCGAGGCTGTGCGTGTGGTGGAGGGGAGTGGGTGTTGGTGGTGATGGCAGGTTTGATGAGAAGCGTCCAGGCAAGGCTGAATCGAAATGTCTGAGCGCCAATTGAGATGTGGCTGAAATTGCGGCGGTCTGGCTTGGGTTATCCCAAGGTGGGGGGTTCGCGGGGCTGATGAAAGGTACCTCAATGTAGGTACCTATCTTTTGCCTGGCGGGTTTGAACTGCAAGTTGAAACTTCAAACTCATTCATGTCTACCCTACAATCGATTGGGAATTATGAACTTCGAAGCCATCGTAATGGATCAATCTACTGCGCTGCTTCGGAGGAAGAGGCACTCTATTCATCTTTTCTCTTCCGGAGTAGAAGAAGGAGAAGGCAAATATTCACAGGTTCCAAGACTTCCATCACTTGTCCCGCCCCTGTACCCATGCCAGTCAGTTAAGAGAAAAGGCATTTCGAAACGGTCAAGCACTCGAAAAGTAAGAAACAGGACATTAAACCACAAGAACTCTGAGGTGTCGCTGTCGTTGTCTCCGCCGCTGCTCTCCTTGCATTATTCGCATGATCCACCCCTCATGTCTGTAACATCTCGCGATTCCCTGCAGACGTGAAAGCCATAACATGGCCGAACATTGATCCTCACAGCCAAGAAAGTGCAACGTGTGTGCGTGATTGCGGATTCATCTCGCCGTGTACGATTGCTTTTCACACATCTCGACTGATTCCTAAAAGCGGCACCTCCCGCTGCAGTCCTTTTGCACGTGGGTTTGAACAAGCACTGCGGAGAGAGAGGAGCATGGCTACGCATATCAGTCCAACTACTTAGCCTCCAGTCTGATAGAAGTTTCATGCTGTGATGATCAGTAAAGTGTCTCTAACCTGCTAGTTGGCCTCGCTCCATGAAGGATTGTAAAACGCCTTATTGACTCATTCAAAAGGTTCGAGTATGCTCTATCCTGGAGTATACCCACATCAGCAATCTGCGTCCAGGACAAACAATACTCTGTATAAACCCAAAGCACAGACTCAATTGGCCAGTACATCGAACATCTGGTGTAAGTGAAAATCTTACCCTCATCGCAACAACGAATTATACCAAGCACCGCGAGCCCCCCCGTTCCAACACTCCAACACAACCAGCTACGTTCCCCCCCCTGAGAAACTTATCCCGTCAAAGCAAGAAGTCAACACACTCTTCCAAGCCCACCAGGTAAACGACAACGAAAATCCCAGCTATATCACCATGGCCGTGGGTCCTCGCCATCGCATGAACACCCATGGAAAGGCATAATGCCACAGTAAACTCAGCCCATCTCCGTCGGACTGGGGGCCTCGGAAATGCGGCATCGCCAAGATATCCACAGGGGCAGATTAATAGCATCAAACTCCCAAGGCTTCGAAAGATAGATAGCATTTCTCGCCTTTGTGTGGTGGTAGTTGGGAATGCTGCGGTAGACATTTGGCACGGCATGGGGTGAAGAAGGGGGTAGAATATGCTCGCGTTTGGCTGTTCTGGTAAGAGATCCGTGTCTGTAGACTCCGAATGAAGACGATGAATACCAGCACGAGAAACAATCTCGAGTCTCAACGTCGCTTGCCGCAAGTGACTGCAATCAGTCCTGGCGATGCAATCTGACGGACGACAAAGTCGGGACTCTACACCAGCACTTGAGAGAGATTGTTGTTTGTGAAGGACAGATGTACTCCTTCAGTTCATGATGCCACCCACGTCTCCAGAATATATACAAAGAAAAACGAGCAGTAATAGTCAAGCTCACATGACGCCGGGTATCTACATAACCTCTTCTCCCTCCTCCTCTTCCACAAAAGAGGACCGAAACAGATTACACACACCTCACTAAACTACCGATACTCGCGTCCTATGCATGAGGATCCGGCAGCCAGAGGACCAGATCCTGATCCGCCGTCGCGAAAAAGTTGAAGCGCGGATTAAACGCCAGGACAGCCGCCTCTCTCTTATCGGGCAGCGTCCACGTCGGATCCAGCACCTTGCTTTCGGACGGCTGCTTGAGCGTGTCCCACACCAGCACGTCCTGCTTGGCGCCGCCGCTGAGCACGAACCGCCCATCGGGCGCGAAGCAGCACTCGCCGCTGCTCTCGAACGCGCCGGGATCGGTGGGCGACGGGGCGGCGCCGTTGGCCGGGAGACTCTCGCCCGCGGCAAGACGGCGCGTCCCTCCGGCGGGCCGGCGTAGGTAGGCTTTCAGGTTGCCCTGGAAGGCGTCGAGGAGGAAGTGCCCGCGGCCCTTTGTGCCGACCAGGATGGTTTTGCCGTCGTTTGAGAACTCGAGTTTTGTCCAGCCCTTGAGGAGATACTGGGAGTCGACGCTGCGGCACTCCTCGACGATATCGATGGTGGTGAAGGGCGCCTTGTCGTAGTTTCGAACGTCGTACATGAGGACGGAGCCGCTGCTGGGGCAGGCGACGGCGAAGACCGTGCCGGAGGGGTCGTAGGCGGCGAGATAGGGCGAGCGGAGGAAGAGCTGGCCCTGCCAATGCTTTGTCTGCGTATCCCAGAGGCGGACGGTGTTGTCTTGGGAGCAGGAGATGAAGTTGTCGCTGCCGGGATGGACGGCGAGGCCGGTGACTGCGGCGTCGTGGCCCTCGAAGTAGCGGATGAAGGAGTTGTCGTGGGTAGCCAGGTATCGGATGGCGTCTGTAGAGAAGAAGATTAGCTTGGGCAGGCGGGCCAAGGGAGGGTCAAGGGCGCCATTACGGTTCTGCTTGGTGCTGGCGTATATTATGCTGGACCGGGTATGTGTAAACTTGGCCAGCTTGACGCCGTACTTTTTGCTCAACAGGCTCTTGTCGTGGCGGCCCTCGCGGACGTTGTAGATCTGGATCGTCTCGTCGCTGGCAGACGTCATGAGCAGCTCGCCGTCGTCATCGTAGTCGATGGAGAGGACGCGAGGCTGCGGCCGTCCTTCCTTGATGTCGTCTCTGCGCAGCAGCTACAGGAGGGAGGAGTCAGTCTGCTTCAAATTGACGGCGTGTGAATGCAGGAAGCAAAGAAACGGACCTTTGTCGGGCGGAAGCTGGACACGACGTCGCTGAGGTTCGACACGGGCGCGCTGGCGGCCAGCTTCCGCGAGATGTTAAGCGAGGGCGAGCCGTTGGAGGCGGTGGGAGGATCGAGGTCCATGGGCGTGGAGGACATTGTGTATTCTTTTGTAATCGGCTTCAACAGCTTCGAGCTGGATCGGGATGAAGACTGGAGAGCTTGTTCTAGGCAGGCCCAGAGGCCGTTGGCAGCTCTGCAGAGGCTCTCCCTGGTTTGATGAAGCTCCCGTGACTTGTCTAACTGATCTCAGAGCTGGAGTGATGCCGCTGGAGGGGATTCGGATCTCAATCGCGGCGGATTGGGCGGCGGTGGAGGAGGAAAGATGGTTGCAAGGCTGATGTATGGAGGTCGCGAATATGCTGTGGTGTTTCTTGGGGTAGAGCAACGACGTCACGGTATGGGTTTTTTTTCGCGTGGTCGCTGCAGACGCCAAAGCACGTGCCTCGGGAGCAGCTCGACAATATGAGACACACGACAAGTTTCTACATACAATAATGCTTACAACAAGCAACAACGAGGATGATGATGAAAAGGCCTAATGTTTCGATGTTCTATGCAAGTTCAATCTGGATTTCGTCTGCAAGTGAGCTTGTTGCAGCTCGCTGTGCAGCCGCCAAGCATCAACACCAAGGTTGAGCATCTCGTATAAGTCGTCACACACAATCACAACCTCACTTACACGCATCACACATACACCAACACGACAAAACACGCAGTTCCTCATTTCATCGTCCCTCGCACTCTTTATCCTCATTCCCATTTCTCTCCAAGTCCTCCAAATCCCTCTCCTGTACACTATGCTGCGTAAACGCCCTCTGCACCATGATCCCGCCCCCCTGGAGCTCCTCCAGATCGACCGCCAGCCCCGGCCCCTTTTGCGCGCACACCTCCGTCACCGTCCTGCTCGTTGTCTCGCCCGTCAGCCCGTCGCTGCGGTTCAGCTTGGCCCAGTCGTGGTGCTGCAGGCTGCCCTTGTAGCCACCTCTTCCCCGGTCGGAGCCGTTGACCTCCTCCGTGGCGGCGCTGCGCGGGTGCGAGTGCGAGTGCGTGACCACGGAGCGGACGCCGGCACGGAGCGTGTCCCGGATGACGACGAGGTGGCGGTATATAGGGGGCAGGTTCGCGCAGAGGATGGCGCCGCAGGGCTCCCAGGCGGAGAGGATGCCGAACGAGGCTTCGTCCCCTGGCCTGCTTGTTAGCACTTGATCGTCTCGAACCAGACAAGGTCGTTCTAAGAAGAGGCATCACTTACACGTGAAATCAGCAGACGCAACCCCAAACACAAACGACAGCCTCGCCGCGCTGATGGCACACGTCGCCAGCCCGACCCCAAACATGAAGCACAAGATCAGCCTCTTCTCCTGGGCCGCCTGCAGGCCCAGAATGACGGGGATCGGCATCATGAAGATCCACAGGTCCGTCACCATGTTGGTCACGTTGGTAAAGTAGGTAAAGGCCTCCTTGTCGATGCACGTCCCGCGCGTCTCGTCCCACCAGGCCTGGATGGGCCGGCAGCCGAAGCCCAGGACGACCTCCATGACGACGAGCCAGGCGCAGACGAAGCAGGCGGTGGCGACGACGACGAGGCGGAACGGGCGGGTGACGAAGATGCGGTGGTAGAGGGCCAGGATGGAGAGCTTGGTGGAGGCGATGGCGATGTCGTAGAAGTGGCTGAAGATGTAGTCGCCCTTGGTGAGTGTCAGTCTTTCGATGACCAGCCAGGGGTGATGTGAGACTTGCCTTGAGAAACATTTGCACGTTGTGCTTGGGGACGGCTTCTACATGGCGGCCAAGTCCAAACGGGGGTCCTTGTAGACAACAAGTCAATCTCCCTTGCGAGAGAGTCTAGAAGCATCTTGACATACCGTATACCAGTCCAGTCACACACTCGGCAATGGCAACGAGCTTCAAACCCATCAGCATTCCCTTTCCCCTTTGGACCATATTACTCAGAATCTCCCCCCTTTCGCGACATGACATACCGTCGCAAAGAGCATCAGATAGTCGGCATACGCAAACCCCGACTGCGCCGTCGCCGCCGCCCACAGCCTCCATGCCGTGCTGACCGTCTCGAGGGCAATGGGAACGGCATACATGGTGGTCACCAGCTGCGTCTTGGACTCGGCCAGGTACTCGGGACTCAAGGTCGAGTTGGTGGCCATTTTTGTGTTGTGGTGTCCGCTGTTTGCTCTTCCGACTTGGTGATATTTCAGAAGACGATGACGGTTTGGAACCGCAGCAGAGCCGGCCACGATCCCTTTTGCAGTTGTGTCATGTACTGCTGTATATGTGTGTGTATATGTATATATATATATATATATATATCCGAAGAGAATATGCCATAGGTCGTCGGTTTCTGGTAAAAAGCGATCTGAATCTTCGTCTTTCGAAACAAGAGAGATTGGATCGTCGACAGACAATCGCAGCAACGAGGCCAGCCCTCGGCTGAAGCCGTAATGCGTCACTGACGATGCTTCATGCTCGCCCACCAGTCAAGCACACACACATCACCAGCACTAGCAAGAGAAGCAAAAGCAGAAGATGCGAAAACGGGAGAAAGCGACGATGATAAGGGCAATAAGAAGGAGGGGGAAGTATATGTTTTCGCGATGAGCCACCATCGGCCTCATGGACGTTGATTCGACGGCTTACTCTTCCGGAGCATGATGCCACCCCCCTCCGTAGCAATAATCAGCCACCACTCGCCTGTTGGATCCCACTGCTGTACAGACTCAGAACGAATATACCGCGCAGCAATCCGTCGAATCGCCTGTCCGGGTCGAGCATGCAGAAAGGGGGATCCTCTTTGCCTCCTCACGCATCTGATGCCGTCCACTCAGATGCCGCCGATGATCTATCTTTCAGGATCCGCCGAATGACCGACCAACGTGTGATACTAGGTAACATATGAGGATGTCTGTGGACGAGGCTCCAAGGCATATCAAGAAGCCACACTAGAAAGAGAAACAAGAGAACAGAAAAGCGAGAAATGACCGGGGATAAAGGCTCGATGTAAGGGTACATGCACATCCAGACACCCACCAAGTCTCGTCCCAATGCGAGGGGCTTCAAGAAGAAGAATGGAACCAGCAAAAGAAGGAATCAAGCTTCTCGATGAATATCCCCCGCCTCACCTCGTCATACCTACTCGTAGTCACTCATGCATGCATGCATAAGGTATACCTATACATGTAGTATCTCTACACCCGTCTCCATCTCGCACTTGATCCCACAAGCACACAAACCGACTCCCACCTAGCAAACAAAGATCAAGTTGATTTTCTGAACAGCTGCTGCACAGAGAAAGATCAAGAAACGGCCATTTTGCGCCAACTGTCGAGACCATTGCAAAGGCTGCGCTGTATTACGGCATTCTCCAACTGGAAAGCAAGGGTCTGGGCATCCATGCATGTAAGACGGGCACCCAAAGGAGAGCAGGCTGCATACATGTGCCATGTACAGAGGAGATGGACGATGCTTCAACACCACCACTGTCTGATTCCGAGTACCGATACAATCACGGGTAATGTGTGTGTGTGTGTGTCTACCTGTAGGTACGCCTGGCACGCGATGTAAATTGCTACGCTCTTGGCACGTTGATGCGTGTTTATGTGCGTCTGCGTGCCCCTGGTTGAACGGAGGCTGCACATGGCTCAACGAGGACTGTCTCGTCTTCATCTCTGTCTCTTTTCTCTGTCGGTCCCTTGACTCAGCTCAGCCGTTCAGACACCGAGACAAAGAGTGCACCCCAGCCATCGTCTGTCTCATATCGCATGTCTCCAGTCGCCTGCACGGCCATCAACCATCCTCTCAAGCATCAGTACACAGCTCTCTGTCACGCGCACAGCCGAGGTGATTTCCCGTCTTTGAATCAAACCAGCGATTTCTCACTTCAAACAGACAGACAACCCATGGCAACAAGCCGTCCACTCCCCCCCTTGGTTCGCAGCACGACTCCGCCCTTGAACGACAAGCCGCAGTTAGACACGCTTGAGAGCAAACCACCAACCCTCAAGTCGCCGTCCACGCCATGCCGCCCTCCCACCTTCATCCAGCTGCTTCACGTCCAGCTTGGCCTCTCCCTCTCCTACATGATTTCCCATTTGCCGGGACTCGCATTTGTCGACTCCGGATTTGTAATGGAATAGATGCGCGGAGCATTGTTCTGTATATCCGATCCCGCACAAGTCTGTTGGCCGTGTGCCGCCAAAAAGTGACAGACGCGGCGCGAGTGAACCGAGAGTCTGCCAGCTGCGAGCCACCTGACGAACGCATTCCGGACATCTCATGAAGCTTCTCCTTCTTCTTCCCTTTTCTCTTTCTTTTTCTCGTATTTGCAGGGTTGCGAACTGAACGCATCGTCTTGCTCTTCATCTCGGTCTCATCAACACTCACCCCCGGGTCAAAGACACAATGATACGCATCATCAGCCTCGTCCTCGCCTTGGCCTCAACCACAAACCAAGCCCTCGCAACGCCCGCACCCGGCCCTCGAGTCGACCTCGGCTATGCCGTCTACGAAGGCCTCTACAACGCCACCCTCGACCTCAACATATGGAAAAGGCATGCACACCACCGTCCCTCTCTCAACATGGAGACATCCAAAGCTCACAACCAGCAGCATCCGATACGCCGCTCCGCCAGTCGGAAACCTGCGATGGCAAGCCCCCCAAGAACCCCCCCAAGCCACGACCCCGAACCGCCTCGTCTCGGCCGTAGATCAGCCCCCCTGGTGTCCCCAGTCGGGAGCCTACGGCGTGCCCTCCGTCTACGGCTTCAACTCCGGCCCCGGGGACGAAGACTGCCTCTATCTCAACGTCTACGCGCCGCCTCAGGCTGAGAACCTGCCCGTCCTCGTCTGGATCCGTACGCATCATCCCCGTTTCAAAAACCATCACACCAAAGTGAAAATCGAATATCTGACATGAGAAGACGACAGACGGTGGCGGCTACTCGGTCTTCGGCGCCACATACGACCCCAGGGCCCTCATCAAGACCAACAACAACTCCTTCATCACCGTCGAGATCCAGTACCGCCTCGGCGCCTTCGGCCAGCTGGCCTCGCCCGACGTCCAGCGGCACGGCAGGCTCAACGCGGGACTCTTGGACCAGCGCTTTGCACTGCAGTGGGTGCAGAAGCACATTGCCAGCTTCGGCGGCGATCCGAGGCGCGTCACTGTGGGCGGAGAGTCGTCTGGCGCGGCGTCGGCCATGTATCAGGCGCTGGCGTACGGTGGGAGGGAAGCAGGGCTGTTCAGCGGCGTATGTTTGCTTTTGACGGGCCCCCTTTCGTTATCACAATTTCGGCATTGAGATCTCCCTGACTCCCCCATCTAGATCATCTTGGCGAGCACATACGTTCCCCCCATCTACCCCTTCGACCACGACGTTCCCACCGGCCACTATCACGCCTTTGCCGAAGCTGCAGGCTGTGGATCGTCTTTTGCTCTGAGCAACCACTCAAGCGTCTTCGACTGCCTCGTCGCCGCCGACACGACCATCTTGCAATACGCCAGCGGCCTCGTCTCGACGTCCAGGGGGTACTTTGGCAGCTTCGCCTGGTTGCCCGTCATTGACCACCACTTCATCCAGCACCGGCCCTCGGCACAGCTTGGCTGCGGCAAAGTCAGCGGCAAGCACCTCTTGATCGGGGTACAACACGCCCCCCCCTTTCTCTCCTCTACACCAAATTCCCTCCTTTCCCCCTGAGGATATCTCGAAGCTAACACAACAGATTCAAGACCAACGCAGACGAGGGCGTCCCGCTGACAAACCCCAACATCACCACCAAATCCGCCTTCGACGCCTTCATCTCGTCTACCCTCCCCCATCTGACAAGCGCCGACGTCTTCGCCCTCAACCGCATCTACGACACGGCCGCCGCCCAGCCCGGCGACAACGGCACCCGCTTCGACACCCCCGGCGACGACCCCGGCGGCCCCACGGCCAACGCCGTCTCGGGCATGGCCACGGGCATCCAGCAGACGGCCTTCAACGTCGCCGCCGAGTCCACCTTCCACTGCCCCTCGCAGTGGCTCGCCGAGGCCTTCAGCGCAGCTGATTCATTGGGCCGCCGCCATCGTCGTCGCGCGTGGAAGTACCAGTACTCGCTCGACCCGGCGTATCACGGCGCGGACCTCGGCGCGTACTTTGCCCTCGCGGACGACGACGACGACGACGATGGCCCCCCGAGTCGCGGCTTTCGGCACAGCTTCCGCCGGATCTGGGGCGAGTTCATAGTCAGCAACAACCCCGTCATCTCCGTGAGCGATGCGAAAGCGGGTAACGCAAACGCCACGGTGCCCATTGACGACGACAACGACAGCAGCAGCAACCCAGAGGATAGTACGATCGCGTGGCCGGCGTTCAGCGCGCAGGACCAGACGTTCCTGAACCTCAACACCACGGGCGGCGAGGTGCAGCTGGTGACTGTGACGGAGGAGCTGAGCTACTACGTGCGCGGGGGGGAGGGCGTCGTGAATGAGTTTCGGCTGGCGGATGGGAGGAGCTGGGAGGGGGGGAGGGGGCAGAGGTGTGAGTTTTGGCGGGCTGTCGCGCCAAGGGTGCCTTTTTAAGAGGGATTTGATATCCTGTCTCTATATTTCGGTGCTTCTTACTGGGATAGATGGAAAGATGGGTTGAAATGAGTAAACTCGGAAGTTGGTAGGCATGGTCTGCCTGTATTCGTGGTATCAGGGGTTACCGGGTCCAAGGCCCGTGTAAGTGAGCACATACGGAGATGGACATGCCCCATCACCAAATGCTGTGCCACGGCTCCCCATAAGAACCAACAGACAGCTAGAAAGCAAAACAGCCTGCTACAACATACATCTCAAGCTCAACGAGTGTCATCAAACATAAGTATGCACTCATTCCCACGCGGCACTTGGGGAAATCTATTGCCTCCTAAACAACAAGCCTCCCCTTCAAAAGCCACCGACAACCGTCACAGCCGCAACCAAACCAGCCCCTTCATTACAGCCCTGCAGTACCCCCATCCCGATATTGATTACCTTTCAGTAGTTACTTGCCCGTAGAACCGCCGTCCAACAATCTTGTTTACGAATTGCAAACTATCCGTTTGGTACCGAATAGTAACATGCACTTTACTGCTGCTGATAGCCCGCACCCGCACCCGCACCCGCGCACTCATGGTTTCCTAGCAGCGAGCGGCTTTCATCGGCGCAACTTGGAGCTCGATCCGGGGCAAACAAGACACCAGACGCCTTCGGATCCGACAAAACCCCACGATTTTGACTTGTCCTTGAGTAATTGGCGGGGTATATAGGAGACATGGGGCGTCAGGGGCAAAGGGAATGCTCGTCAGACCCTACTACTACGGGAGATGTTCTGCATCCGTCAAATCGAGATACATCTCTAAGCCAGTAGTATTAGAAGATTTCAAAAGACAGGTTGACGGCTCTCGCGGTCGGGCCCGCGTTACGGCATCGGTCAGACCGGGGAGAGGCGGCGCTTCGAATCCTTGAGGTAACACACGTCTTACACCATGTACAACCGCCGTCCAACGGGAGTAATAAGAGACAAAATCAAGGGAAAAAAGAAGCTTTTCATCAAGTGTAAATCAACCTTTTCCTCCAATTGCATGAAAGAAAGAAAGAGCTGAGTAATTACAGTCATAACATCCCAAGCCACAAGTCTTGACCCCCCCTCATTCAATCATCACGCCGTCAAACCAATCTATACCACTAGTCGATCCAGCAAAATGGCAACGAATAGACGGGCAGTAATATCAGAACCCCGTCAGCTTACCTCTCTTCGTATCAATCCCATGCAAACAAATAAACACCATTCATCCACCCCCTTGCCGAACAACCACTTTAAACCTCCGCGGACTAATACTAGGTACTACATACTAACACCCAAAAGCTCAACAACTTACAAAGCCCCCCCAGGGACATCTCCGTTCTTCGGCCTCCGGGGACCCTCTTCTTCTCCATCAACCACAAACCAACTTTACCTCAAGCAATCCAGCTCCGTCCCCCTCTCCATCTCTGCCTTGACAAACAGCTGCGGCCAGATTCGCTTCTCCACAACTACTAGATCCGGAAGCCCCCCAAAAAAAGACGCTGGGTGCCATTGCTAGCCGGGCCGCCGTCATCGGGTTTGTTGCTTTGCGCACTTCGGAAATCCCCCAAAAATCGGCGGGCTTTCCCTTGCAGAAGCCATCATCAGCCTTCTCTTCTCTTGTCGTCTTACGTTTTCCGCTCCCTCTCTGTTTCCTCTTCCTTCTTTTTCTTCTCCTATCTGTTTCATTCTCCTTCGTTTCTTTTATTTTCCTCCGACTGGCTCCCTGCATCTCCGTGTGACACCGAACAATCGCACGCAGCCTTTCGCCAGTTTCCCGCAACCAACCACTCACAGCTACTTGAACTGCGCGAAAGGCGAAGAAACCCAGCTAACTGCTGCGCCCAATGTCCACCACAATCGGGTACGCCGCATCACTCAATCCCCTTCGATTCTCTCTTCTCTTCCAGCTAACGCAAAATCCCCCAAAACAGCGGCTTCGCCGCCGGCGCCCTCGCAGCCTGCGGCGCCGTCACAGTCACCCACCCGGCCGAG